CCTTAAAGGGGACATGCCTTAAAAACAACATGTGTTTTTTAAACATGTTAAAACAGTTTTCCGTTGTCATTTACCCACTAAAACTGTTCTAGTGAGTGATTAATGTGATAGGCAGGTTTGTAGCATAGTTCATACATTAGGCAACACAAAGTCCTAAACAAAACAGTTGTCTGCACAAGCTTGTCTCACATTTTCAGGAAGACTGTTCCAAGATATTAGTCGTATAAATCTGAAACGCTGCCTCCCTGAGTTCCAGTTGGTTCATTTGACGCTAACATGACACAGATGTACTCTCTAAACGAGTCGGCAAGCAGAGAGCCTGAACGCAACACTGATTCTGATTCTTTCTTATTAATTTTCCGTTCCCAATCCTTCTCCATTTAAATAAAACTAGCTGTGATTGTATCGGCCGTTACCTGCAACATTCACTTTTTATTAACAGTTTAGGATTTGTCAAGTATTGCAAAGGTCAAAGAGATTGACAGGTGCAGACTGTGCAGTGATGCGGTTGCTGTATTGGACTGTCGGGGTGAAGAGAGAGCAACGTATGCTGTCAAACCTTTTTATTCTCTGTTCAATCTCCCTTAGATATAGGGTGAGGACCAATGTTGCATTGGAGACGCTCAGGGTAGAGCTTCTGCTCCTCTATGTCACTCAGATTTTGGATGCTTTGTGTGTCAACAAGACATTTATAGGCAGCATAGTTTCATGGCGGGATGATGGGATCCCTGATCCCGGCCTCCTCCATCTGCACCTGCGGAATTCCCTGCCGGGACGGACTCGTGGGCTACACACCCCCTCGCCGCCTGGGAGCAGCCTGCACTGTGTGGCCTTGGTCTTTGTGCCGTAGCCTGAGTCCTGGATCTTTAGCCCGTCCGTCCGTGGGAGCGGATCCTTCTCTCAGTATGGACCTCCCCGAGGTTTCTCACTTTTCTCACTGGGTTTTAGAGTTTCTTGTCGATGCAGGAGGGTCTGTTAAAGTCTCGTGGGGTCTAACTAAAAGAAAATTGGTGATGATCCAGGAAACTCAATATTTCTCAACACTTATGGACATTGGTCATCTGCCCCTTATGGACCAATGCCAATGCTTTCTCTGTTTTATTTCTTGTGTTTGAACTGTTTGATTTTCTGATCTGTGTTGGCGAATTCAATGGTTTTGTAAAGTCCTCTGAGAAAACTACTGTTGTGATTTAGGGCTATACAAGCATACATTGAACTGATTATTGCCTTTGTGTCTTGGAGAGTGTAGTGGCAGTAGCAGTTTGCTGGAGCCCTGATCAAACACAAAGCAGCGTGTGAATATTCCAGTGTGTTGAGTGGTTGTATTTTTACAGTGTGTCCTTGCTCGTCCTCGACCCCCTCGTCCTCTCCTCTTTGCCCGTGTGGCGGTGGATCTGGTGCTGGGTGATTGTCTGTGCCTCCTGCCGCTCTGGCGCCTGTCGAAAGAGCCCTCACCAAACCTCTCCTCCACCCCTCTGCTCGCTCACAAAAAGAAAGAAAGATTTTACAGTTTCATAGGTAAAAATACGAAAAATTATACCTTTTCATCAAACAAAAGCAGAACTTGCATAAACATACACAGAGGTCTAGGACAGCTAACACATAAACATAAAGGGATTCAAAGAAACATTGCTATAAGCTAGAAGATTTTTATGTTTACATTCATGCTTTAGTATTTAAAATATAGCTTTATAATGATGTCATACAATTGCATGACTGAGACCATAGACTGTAAATAGATGGATAATGCCTTTGAACAATGTTCTATTTCGAATAAGAGTTTCACCTATAAGCTATTTATGCTGTGAGTGGCTAGCCTCTCCATCGATAAAACCAAACCAGAATATGTATAATACTGTATGTAGCATACTTGTGCAATTATGATGTTGATGTAAATAACACAAATTTCACAAAACAACGAGTACATTTCCACGTGGATTTCTATATTGACTTAGTGTAATAATTTAGTGTTCCTCCCCTCATGTGCTGGCCCCCTCCCTTTCCTGTGTTTGGTTGTGTTTTGGGGTCTTCCTCTCTTAGACATGGTCGGTTGCCAATAGCTGTAATCACAAGCACACCAGTGACATGACGCAACTGATGCCCCGAAGAAATTTGGAAAAGAGAGAACAGAAATGAAACAAGAGGGGTAAATGTACAGGACAGGAGCAGAGAGGCTGAAGAAGACGATAGAAGAAAATAGCTTTGTGACAGCCAAGTCTTTTTTTCTTTTTGGCAAAGCACTGCTCCGTGGCTAGCACAGAAAGTAATTAAGACGTGCCTGTTCAAGGAGATAGGGCCATAAAAGAGAATTGAAGTGAAGGGACTGATTCTGTGTGCGTGATTCTCTCTAGAGTTCAAACCCCCAAACACATGTAGAGTTTTAAGGATCATCAGAAAGAGCCAGTTGTGTTCTGGTCACTAAAAGACTAAAAGAGTACGAAGTGACCTACAGATGGAGGCACTAAAGTAGAATTGCTACAAGAGACTCTTTGTGGTGGGTGTAACTCAGTTACAAGTATGACTTACTGGAAATAGATTATATTTCTCAGTAAGTAATGAACCACATACTTTGAAAATTAGATTACAGTTACAACAGTAATAGAATATATTCTTAGTTACTTGAGGAACTATGTCACACAGGTTAAACAACCAACTCAGCTTCACATTGAGCTTCTAGAATGTGGAAAGACCCACAGCATCATAAACACTTAAAAAATGTTTCTAATATTGGTCATAAATCATGACCAATATTGAATTGGAGTTACTTTGAAAACGTAGTTTGTATCAATTTGTAATTCATATTACTGATAAAGTTACACTAATTACAGTTACAGTCTCAATAAACTAAGTTAGCTACATTACTTTGGCACTGTTTAATTTGAATTTCAGTTAATACATTAGAACAATGGGATGCCATATGAGTTGTTTAAAAAAGAAACAATTCTAACCTGGCATACAGAACGTATTTTAAGCCTTTCTTATCTGCTGGTGATGCTCACGAAGGACAGCTCTGTCTATCTTCAGCTCTAAAACAATACTATCTCATAGATGGAGCAAACGAAGCTAATAGTATTGTTTTGTTGACATCTAGAGGTGAAATAGTGACATTGGAGCAGAGCAGTTGAATTGTAGCCTGGCGCCATCTTACGTCAGAAACGTGAACTACTTACCACAGCACAGAGACTGCCCTGATAAAAGTTTCCAACGACATCCGCGTCAACAGTGACTTAGGCAAAGCCACAGTGTTGGTCCTGTTGGATCTCAGTGCAGCCTTTGACACTGTTGATCACGAGATCCTCCTGCAGAGACTTGAGGGATGGGTTGGCATCACTGGCACTGCCTTAAGTTGGTGCAAGTCCTACTTAGAGGACAGACAGTACTTTGTTGAGATTGGGGACTGTGTCTCAGACCAGGTGGCCTTAACAAGTGGAGTGCCCCAAGGTTCAATTCTGGGCCCCCTTCTTTTTAATATTTATATGTTGCCACTAGGTCAATTGATTCGAGGCCAAAATGTATCCTATCACAATTATGCAGATGATACGCAGATTTATGTCTCACTGGCTGCGGGTGAACTTGGGCCAATTGAGTCACTCTGTCACGGCATCAAACAGATTGACTCATGGATGCAAAATAACTTTCTTCAGTTAAATTCAAACAAAACTGAAGTTATTGTGTTTGGCCCACAGAAACTCATAGAAAGTGTGTGCAGCCTTCTCCAATCCTTTTCTCTGTCTCCAAATTACAAAAATCAGGTTAGAAATCTAGGAGTAATCATGGACTCGGACCTCAATTTCAATAGTCACATTAAATCAGTAACTTCAGCGGCTTTCTACCATCTAAAGAACATTGCTAGAATTAGGGGCATAATGTCAAAGGCAGACTTAGAGATTGTCATTCATGCTTTTGTTTCTAGTAGTTTAGACTACTGCAACGGCCTTCTCTCTGGTCTGTCCAAAGGAGCTGTAAAGCAGCTACAGTATATTCAAAATGCTGCAGCTCGAGTCCTGACAGGAACCAGGAAGTACGACCACATTAGTCCAGTCCTCAGGTCTCTGCACTGGCTTCCTGTAGCCCAGAGAAAAGATTTTAAAGCTCTCCTTGTATATAAGTCTCTCCGTGGTCTCGCACCAAAATACATATGCAACATGCTGGTACCGTACGAGCCCGCTCGAACTCTGAGGAGCGCGGGAACTGGCCTCCTGTTGGTGCCCAGTCGGGACTAGACATGGGGAGGCAGCGTTCCAGAACTATGCACCTAGAATCTGGAACAGTCTTCCCGAAGGTGTGAGACAGGCTCCTTCTTTAGCTACTGTATGTTCAAGTCCAGGCTGAAAACGGTTCTTTTCAGCCGTGCCTACGACTGATCATCTAGAAATCATATCATAAATTTATTTTTGATGCATATATTTATTCATTTTCTTAAACTGTCTTTTGTATTTGTTTTTACAGTCTGTTTTTAAATTGCTTTTAAATGTTGCCGATGTGAAGCACTTTGGGTTGCATTCTGTATGAACTGTGCTATAGAAATAAACATTGATTGATTGATTGATAATACACATAAATACTGACATCACAGTGAGGCTTTGAGAGGGACCATAAACAGGGCTGAGACTCGAGCCAGGGCAAGGACCGGGACTAGGATCATATTAAATGTGCACAGTGGCATCTGGAGGAATGCTATTTGTGAGAAAGTTCTTGGATCAAAAACTAAAGTTGTGATTGCCATAGAAACAGTATAGTAACACACACGGTGGCCATGTTGAAACTGTAAGAACTCACACTAACAAACAGAGACTTTAATTATTTCATATTTGTACCGTATCTCAGGCTGTTTGGTTTGACACACCACATTTCAACACCTTCTGCTGACAGAAAAGCAGAAATACATAAAATCTAGATATCTTTTTATTTCGCACATGTATGTATGTGCACAGTTTGCACACATTTGCCCCTTAAACGCTAGAACCTCGACCAAGATCCAGACCCCAGACCAGACCTGCTCAGCTCTGCTCCAACCTCAGCATAACGGATAGCTCTGGTCCAAGCTTTCCCTCCCTCAGCTCCAGTTGTGTGTCTGGACTCAGGGCTGAGATGTTGGAGCTGAGGACCACACTGCCACGGGCCCTTGGGGGTCCCTCCAACTGTGACAGGCTGAAGCTCTGGTCCGGCCTGTAGTTGAAGAGGACCATGAAGCGCTGGCTCTGGTCCCAGGAGCGAAGGAAGACCAGGACCGAGGACGAGTTGTAGAGCAGCGAGAGGTCTCCGAACAGCAGGGAGCGCTCTTTCCTTCGGAGAGCAGAGAGAGAGGAGAGGAAGAGAGGGCAGGAGGGCTGTGGGCGGGGCGTCTGGGGGTGGCGTAAGGGAGGAGAGAGGAGTCAGGACAGAGGGGACAGAGTCAGTGCAGAGGGGGAGGGGTCAAGTAAAAAGTTAAAACACATTAATATATATTTATTATTGCTGTCCAAAATATTCAGTTTTTTAATGCGTTAACGCAAAGCAATATTAACGCATGGCCTCTCCATTGGCTCTGGAGTCCAAAGTGACGTCGCTTTGTGCAGGGTAACGTCCGCCGCTCTGCGCCTAGAATCTCTGGTATAAAAGCAGCCAAGTCGCACTCATGTCTGTAGCAAGTTGGAGTATTCTGGCGACACCTAGTGGTTTAAAATGGAATTACACCAGTTGAGAGCCACTACTGCTACTGGGAGTATTGTGTGGCTTAGGTTCAGTTATCTAGCTACTGCGAGAGAGTGTAAACTATTGATTTAAGCCTGCAATGCCAGCTGTCCGATTTTTTTTTTGTGTGGGCAGACCACGGCCAACTCAAAGCCCCCCTTCTTGTTCCATCGACCGCCGGGCAGCCCTTAGTTGTCATTTAAAGAGATAAAGTGAGATTGCAGTGAACCTGGAAGTAACAATTAAGGTTAATAAAACTTTTCAGAATACCTTTGCACAAGATCAGATTATATTTTTAGGTTGAGTCTAGATATGGTTCGCGTTGAGCTCAGCCATGGCCACAAGTTTGTCAAACAGGAAGTGGGCTATGGCGGGCCAATTAATGGATGTGAAGGTTAATACATGTGGTCAGAGCACAGTCAGAGACGTGGGTAACATGAGTGTGAAATATAACACGTTTTCAATAAACGTGTTATACTTTTCCATGTTGATAAGTGTAATAAGTAATAAGTAAAAAGATAATTCTAGGGACTTAAAGAAAAGATAAAAAATATGTGATTAATTTTCCAATAATCACAAGTTAGCTATGACATTCATGCATTTAATTGCGATTTAAAAAATTAAACAATGGATAGCACTAATATTTATATATTCACATACAGGTTTGAGAGAGACTTACCTCCTGAGTCTGGTTCTGCTCCAAGTCCTGGATCCTCTGGAACTGTCCCTGAAACACATAGTCCAGCATCTGACCCGAGTGATGATGCTGGTTCAGTCTTGGTCTCAGTTCTGGTCTCATTCTAGTTTCACCTAGACTAGTCCTGGTCTCAGTCCTCAGTCCTGGTCTCACCTGGTTTATCAGTGCAGTCCCTGGCAGGCTCAGTAGTAGCATCAGATCCATGGTGTTGCAGTCCTGCTCCATGGCACTCTCTTCTGGCTGCAGGCTCCACAGCAGTTGGGAGGGGCTGTGGGCGGAGCTGAGCAGAAGGATAGACTGAGCACGCTCTGTGGCGTCCGTGCGAGGACCGAGGACCGGAGACAGGAGCAGGTCGACCCCCGAATCCCCAAGGAGAGAGCTGACCTCAGCAGGAGAGGAGAGCGAGGACGACCCCAGTAGGAGCCTGGTGGAACAGCAGGGAAGTCACAGAGTGGACCGAGTGTGACATCACCACAGTGTGACATCACCACAGTGTTAGCCTTAATGCAGAAGAGGCCGATGATCGAGAAGGAATTAATATCCTGATTGCTAAGACAAGCTGGAGTTTCCCCCATGAATGAAGGCCTCTGATAGGTCAGTCTTTATGCAGCTCATAGCAGGATTTACAAAGACAATATCACAATATAAACACCAGGATCACAAAAAGCGATAAATCACAAATTTAAGCCCAAAATGGTGAGTGTGACACAAGCGGTAACTGAGCTAGAGGAGTTTACTTTTAAATGGAATAGAGCAGGTAAAGCCTAGAGAGACTGCAGAAGTGAAGTACCTCTTGTGGGGTCTGGAGTCGGTCCAGTTCTGGACTATGGCCCTGATGTTGCTCCACTGAGATGGGACCATGGACCAGACCGAATCCACAGAGTCCAGCTTCACGCCGTCCACGCCCAGAGTGAGCCAGAAGACCAGAGCAGACTGAGGAGTTTTCACAGTTTACACACAAACTTACAAAACAGTCTGTAACAAGTAATAAGTAATAAGTGTGTGGGTAAAAACATGCTTTCTGCTTGTTACCAAAATTGTTCTGTTTTTTTTTTCCTAAATTGATCATTACTGGCTGTAAACACAGCCATGATTGTAAAGTTGAAAAATTGTACAATACTTTTGTTTTAAAGGCAGAAAACTGCTCTGAGCATGACGTCTTAGTGGTGGTGCGTTGTGCTCATCACAGACAGATGTGTGAGTAAAGCTCGTCTCTGTGATTTCTCTGGTTTCTCTGTGGACTGGTCACATGGTTTGAAGAGTTTCACGGACCTTGAGGCGTTCGGCCACACTGCTCACACTGCTGTTGCTGAACCAGGAGCCAGAGGAACCAGCGTAATTGGGACTGAGATCCAGGACCACAAAGAGACCTGAGGGAGCAGAGAGATATCACAAATTTGAGCAGAGAGAGACCAGAGAGAGACCACTGTGAAGAGTGAGGCAGCAATACTGACAGGTCTAACACAACAGCAGAGAAAGATTAATCCCAATCACAGTTGTAGAAGGCGCAGTTACCAAATGACAAAGACTTCTAAAATGTTGTTGAGTCGTTCTTCTCGAAGGACAGTGAGGATCCAGGATGTTTATTAATATTTCTGGACAGTGGTCATCCTGCTCCCTATGGACCAATGGCTTCTATGTTTTTCTTATTATTGCATTTTCTTTGTTCGAACTGATTCTCTGATCTGCTAACTGCAGTTGTGATTTAGGGCGATACAATTCTCTGCTTGAATTGAAGTGATGTAAGACAATGATCTTTAGCCTCAGTTCAGTTTATTCATTACTGAAACACGTTGGAATCCGCTTCAGTCTCTGCCTCAGTCTCTGCTTCAGTCTCTGCTTCAGTCTCTGCGTCAGCCTCTGCCTCAGTCTCTGCTTCAGTCTCTGCTTCAGACTCTGCTTCAGTCTCTGCTTCAGTCTCTGCTTCAATCTCTGCTTCAGTCTCTGCTTCAATCTCTGCTTCAGTCTCTGCTTCAGCCTCTGCTTCAATCTCTGCTTCAGTCTCTGCTTCAGTCTCTGCCTCAGTCTCTGCTTCAGTCTCTGCTTCAGTCTCTGCTTCAGTCTCTGCTTCAGTCTCTGCTTCAGTCTCTGCTTCAGTCTCTGCTTCAGTCTCTGCTTCAGTCTCTGCTTCAGTCTCTGCTTCAGTCTCTGCCTCAGTCTCTGCCTCAGTCTCTGCTTCAGTCTCTGCTTCAGTCTCTGCTTCAGCCTCTGCTTCAGTCTCTGCTTCAGTCTCTGCTTCAGTCTCTGCTTCAGTTTCTGCCTCGGTCTCTGCTTCGGTCTCTGCTTCGGTCTCTGCTTCAGTCTCTGCCTCAGTCTCTGCCTCAGTCTCTGCTTCGGTCTCTGCTTCGGTCTCTGCTTCGGTCTCTGCTTCGGTCTTTGCTTCGGTCTCTGCCTCAGTCTCTGCTTCATACCTCTCTTGTGGGCTGTGGTCAGCAGACTTCTCATCTGGTCCAGACTCCCCACCTCCGCAGACACCTCTTCGAAGCTCAGGGTCATGGGGTCATCAGCAGGAGCCTGATGAACCGGAGCCAGAACCAGTCCTTGGACCTTCATCTGTGAGAGAGACTCCAGCTGCTGCTCCACTCCTACACACACAGAGACGCACAGACATGCATGAGTCTTATTGCCACTAGGTCTCTCTCTCTCTGGTCTTTTCTTTGTCTCTGGTCTCTCTCGAGTCTCTCTCTCTGGTCTCATTCTGGTCTCCCTCTGGGTTTGAAGGTTATCTTCCCTTTTCATCATCTCTAAATAATGACACAGGTAATACTGTGAAGTAAATGAGGATGACTGTAGTGTGTTGTAGCTCTTTTCTTTTTGGTCTCTCTCAGGTCTCTCTGGTCTTTCTCTCTGGTCTCTCTCTCTCGCTCTTGTCTCTTTCTGGTCTCTCTCTCTCACATCTCTCTCTGGTCTCTCTCTCTGGTCTCTCTCTCTCTGGTCTCTCTCTCTGGTCTCTCTCTCTGGTCTCTCTCTCTGGTCTCTCTCTCCGGTCTCTCTCTCTGGTCTCTCTCTCTGGTCTCTCACTCTGGTCTCTCACTCTGGTCTCTCACTCTGGTCTCTCTCTCTGGTCTCCCTCTCTGGTCTCTCTCTCTGGTCTCTCACTCTGGTCTCTCACTCTGGTCTCTCTCTCTGGTCTCTCTCTCTGGTCTCCCTCTCTGGTCTCTCTCTCTGGTCTCACCTTTGATGTTGGCAGTCGGACTGAAGTCCTGGATGTTGCGGATGTGGAACAGCGGACCATCGTTCCACCAGTTTTGAGGCGGCAGTTCTTTACAGGGAGGAGCCTTCAGGATCAGCAGCACCGCACCAGCAAGCATCCCCAACCAGGCCAACCAGAAGAGGACCAGGAGGGACCAGCGAGCTCTCACCCATCTGGAACACACACATACACATACAATATCTTTGTAAGTCTTAATCTTATCTTTCAAACTGGAGCCTTACAAGATAAGAGATTCTTTATTTGTCTCACAGTGGGGAAATGTCAATGTTGCAGTGCATATACAGGACAGTAGTTAGAGCACACAGGGACCACACAAAAATATTCAAAATAAGTAGTAGCTATGTTTCTTAACTAGCTGAAAAGGCTGTAAATGCTTCAAACCCAGTCTTTCAATATATATATATATATATATATATATATATATATATATATTAAAAAAAATTGTCCACTCACCTTTGGCCCTTGGTGGTTATCCCTCTCTAAGCTCGGGTCCTCTACCAGAGGCCTGGGAGCTTGAGGGTTCTGCGCAGTATCTTTGCTGTTCCTAGCACTGCACATTTCTGGACCGAGATGTCCGAGGTTGTTCCGGGGATCCGCTGTAACCACTCTTCTAGCTTCGGGGTCACTGCCCCGAGTGCACCGATCACCATGGGCACTACTGTCACCTTTACCCTCCAGGCCCTCTCCAGCTCCTCTCTGAGACTTTGGTATTTCTCAAGCTTTTCATGTTCTTTTTTCCGGATGTTACCATCGCTTGGAATTGCCACGTCCACCACCACGGCTGTCCTCTGCCCTTTGTCTAGCACCACAATGTCAGGTTGGTTCGCCATTACCATTCAGTCGGTCTGTATCTGGAAGTCCCACAGGATCTTTGCACGCTCATTCTCCACCACCTTTGGAGGAGTTTCCCACTTAGACCTTGGGGTTTCCAGCCCATACTCTGCACAGATGTTTCTGTACACTATGCCAGCCAATTGGTTATGGCGTTCCATGTAGGCCTTCCCTGCAGCATCTTGCACCCTGCAGTTACGTGTTGGATCGTCTCAGGTGCCTCTTTGCACAACCGACACCTTGGGTCTTGTCTGGTGTGGTATATCTGGGCCTCTATCGCTCTGGTGCTCAGTGCCTGTTCCTGTGCAGCCATGATGAGTGCCTCTGTGCTGTCCTGTAGGCCAGCCCTTTCTAGCCATTGGTAGGACTTCTTGAGATCAGCCACTTCTGTTATGCTCCGGTGGTACATGCCGTGTAGGGGCTTGTTCTCCCATGATGGGCTCTCCTCCAGCACCTCCTCATCTCGCCACTGCCTGAGACATTCACTGAGTACGTCATCCGTTTTGGCCTTCTCCATGATGTAGTTATGGAGTTTGGATGTTTCGTCCTGGACAGTGGCTCTCACACTCACTAGTCCTCGGCCTCCTTCTTTACGGCTTACGTACAGTCTCAGGGTGCTGGATTTGGGATGGAACCCGCCATGCATGGTAAGGAGCTTTCGAGTTTTAACATCCGTGGTCTGAATCTCTTCCTTTGGCCACCTGATATATAGATTATATATATATATATATTAGTGCTGTCCAACGATTAAAATATTTAATTGCGATTAATCGCATGAATTTCATAGTTAACTCGCGATTAATCGCAAATTAGTCACACATTTGCGTGCTGTGTGCAATTGCTTTTTTTATTGAAAACAATGTGTAGTGTTATATTACACACTAACATTTGATGCAAAATTATCAATAAATGGATGACAAAATAAATAATTGGTAACAAAAAGCCCCTTCAATGTGTGTGTGTGGGTGTGTGTGTGTATGTGTGGGTATAGACCATAGACTGTATAGAAACATCATGGTGTCATTATGATGATGATAAACAATCTGTAAATATTTTGTAAATTTGTTCATGTAAATACTCTATGCTGTTTCTCTGTTTACCTTCGGTATATCTATGACTGTATACTGTTTGCTTGTATTGCCTTTTTTATTAACCCCTCCCCTCCCCCCCCCCCCTCCCCTCCCCTCCTATGTGCCCTTCTGGGTTTCTTCTTTGGCCCCCTGTATCTCCAACTACATATTGTTTGTAATCTCTGTCTACAATGTATCTGAACTAGTCCTTTTCTTTGTTTCTATGTGTTTGTCTGCAATAAAAAGTAAAAAAAAAAAAAAAAAAAAAAAATCTTTTTTTTTTTTTTTTTTATCGCGCGATAAAAAAAATGACGGCGTTAATATTGATTTGCGTTAACGCGTTAATAACGCGCTATTTTGGACAGCCCTAATATATATATATATATATATATATATATATATATATATATATATATATATATATATATATATATATATATATATATATATATATATATATATATATATATATATATACATATGTAGTCATATATGAGTCACTATTTGGCATTTTGGGCTTAGAGATGATTGGATATAAAAGTTTTTTTGTAATCCAAAAGATTATGTGAGCTCTACAGTTAAGAACTTATCTTTTTGCCCCTTAAATGGATCTGAATATACAGTAAATCTGCTGAGAGGCCGTTACAGTCGCTTCCTGAGTGAATTCCTGTATTTGATGTTTGTGCTCAGATCTGCACAGAAACAGAAGAGCTGAGTGTGTTCCTCTGACTCTGCTGACTCACACACAGACACATGACTCCACACTGACCGCTTTTATCAAATGGGGAAGAGCAAAGTGTACAAATGGACACAGACAAACACAGGTCAAACACATAAGGGAACAGGACAGGAAGTAAGACTCAAATGAAACCACTGAGAACTCATGTCAAAATAAAAACAATACAGAAATCCACAATCCACACCATGACACTGTAATAATGTGGTGGGTCTAAAAATGATCAATTCCCCATTTTCCTCTATTTGTCACCACCACAAACAACGTTTTTATGTCCAACTTTTGTGAGTGAAACCAACGCAGAGAGGTTCCACAAACATGCTGTAGAAGTTTCCTGATGACAAAAGTCGACCAAACTAAGTGTGTGATCTGTGATTACAGCTGCTCTGTGAGGACCTTTGAGAGGAGAATGTATCGCTAAACAGCATCATGAAGGCCAAGGACACACCAGAGGATGAGGAATGAGGTCCAAGGAGACACCAGAGAGGTCATAGAGGAGGTTCAAGGATAAACAGTAAAGGTCAGAGGTCAAGGAGGAGGTCCAAGGAGACACCAGAGTTGGTCTGAGTTTTTGCAACGTAGAAGAAGGATGACACCATTTTCTTTGTCATGTACACATTTTGTGATAAAAAAAGATCATCTGCTTAGTTTCCAGTGAGATAGTTATGTTTAATCCAGATTATATTTGTACATTAGGGCCGTTGCCATGGCAATAACCAATTCAAAACCAAACATTATGTTTGTTTATTGGAGGGAAAGTCCGCAGTCACCATTCCCCATTCAAAAGTCTTTATCTTTCATCATCAAGAAACACATGAAATCAAAGGCTACTTCAAAACAAGAATAAGACATAGAAATGGGTAAAAAATAAGAAAGAAAAACATTGAAAAGTAAAGAAAAGAACGAAAATTGTAAATAGTAGATGGAACCCCTGGTTTTAGTTTAATAATCTGAGGGACGAATAAATATTTATCTCATTCTAAAACCCGGCTGCTGTCACTTGCCGCCGTGCCAACAAAGATGGCGGGCCTCCATGGTTACGTCTGATTTTTGACATTCCATTTTAGGTTGCGTCATTGCAACAGTGAAACAACAGCGTCTGGACCTCATTCTACAATCCGTGTCCTGAATCTGTTACAAATATTAATCTGAAACGAAAAATACAAAGTAATATCATGTTTCATAAAGATCTCACCCGGAAGTACCGGCCACTCGCAGCAGCTCCTCTTTGTTCAGCCCAGTGAAGTGCTCCGGCTCCGGGGTGTCCTCCTCCGGGATCTTCAGCTTCACGACCCCATTCTGCTCGCCTCCCTCTGCAGCTGTAGGCTCCTGCTCTCCCGCGGTGATGGGATCCTTCTCCGGGTCTTGATGGGAGGAGAGCAGCGCCGTCTCGCTCGCCTCCTGCTCAGGTTGGTTCTCTGCGGGGTCCAGGCCTGTGGTGGTAGTGGTGTCAACAGCTCCATGTCTGCCTGCTCTGTGCTCATCCTTGTGGGGGGTGTGTGAGGTGGTCTACCGCGGCTGTGGAGGCTGGTTTATGCGGTAGTCAGGTGGATGTGAGCGGTAGTCTGTTGGAGCTGGAGACTGAGGATGCTGTGGAGCGTGAGGAGAGTGGGAGCATATGGGCGGGGTCACTCAGAGGAGTATTTTGCCGCTTTTCCAGCTCCAGTTTGTGTAATGCATGGTGGTATTAATAATATGATAAAGTATTTTTTTCTAGTCTTCCAAAAAAAGACAAAAAAGGAGTTTGGAGTTTTGACGCATTTTAAGTTTTGTTTTTGAAATATGAGTTTTTAAAGATTGTACCACATAGAAACAACTGTTGAAATGTACAGAAAATGTCTATATTAAATGGTGGAAAACATTGACTTCACTAGCTCTATGTCTGATTTCAACGTAGCGATGAGCACACTTTATCCTCAGCAACAAGGTCTTGGGTTTGAATCCCGGTTGGAACAGGGCCTTTCGGAGTGAACTTTGCATGTTCTCGTCCTCTGGTTTCCCCTACCTCTAAACATGTCCGCAGTGAAATCCTCATCTCTGATCCTGATCAAGAGCATTGACTTGTGGAGATGGGTCCTGCGCTGTTACTACGACGACCACTGCTCTTGACAAATAGAATAATGGGTCAAATGCAGAGGACTAAGTAAAACTTATTAGCGGGTCATGAACATTCAGCTGTTTAAATACAGCTCAACATCAAGTTAAGTCCAGGTTCTTGAGCTTCATGGCGTCTCTTCCTAAGAGTCGCAGGTAGAGGGCGCTGTGTCACCAGTGTGATCTATAACTAGAGACCGAAAATAGTTCTAATGAAAACAGATCTGAGAGCAATCCTGAAATAAAGGTTCAAATGCAAAATGTAACAAACTGAATTCAAGAGAAAACTTTTGTCTCACGTATTTGTGAGAGATAATGTTTCTGCAAAAATTGTTTTTTCCCACTGCTAACTCCAAACAAGACGTTGGTAAAAAGTTGTTTATTGAAATGAAACGTACAGCTGAACAGGTTATAACAGTGAACAGTGAAGAACTGAATGTCATGGGGAACAAACCATGAGGATAAAATTCAGTGTTTCTCCCTTCCCTCAGTACTCCTCTCCCTTCCCCCCCCTCTCTCTCCTCAGTACTCCTCTCCCTCCTCCTCCCCCTCCACAGAGTCAGCGCCCACCTCCTCATAGTCCTTCTCCAGGGCTGCCATGTCCTCCCTGGCCTCAGAGAACTCCCCCTCCCCCATGCCCTCCCCCACATACCAGTGGACGAAGGCTCTCTTAGCGTACATCAGGTCAAACTTGTGGTCGAGTCGAGCCCAGGCCTCAGCGATGGCGGTGGTGTTGCTCATCATGCAGACGGCTCTCTGGACCTTGGCCAGGTCTCCTCCTGGGACCACAGTGGGCGGCTGGTAGTTGATGCCCACCTTGAAGCCGGTGGGACACCAGTCCACAAACTGCACAGTGCGTTTGTTCTTGATGGAGGCGATGGCAGAGTTGACGTCTTTGGGAACCACGTCCCCGCGGTACAGCAGGCAACACGCCATGTACTTGCCGTGGCGAGGGTCGCACTTTACCATCTGATTGGCTGGTTCGAAACAGGCGCTGGTAATCTCTGCCACGGTCAGTTGCTCGTGGAAAGCCTTCTCCGCTGAGATGACCGGAGCATAGGTTGCCAGTGGGAAGTGGATGCGAGGATAAGGCACCAGGTTAGTCTGGAACTCTGAGGTCCACGTTCAGGGCGCCGTCGAAGCGCAGGGAGGCGGTGATGGAGGACACTATCTGGCTCATCAGACGGTTCAGGTTGATGTAGGTGGGGCGCTCGATGTCCAGGTTGCGCCGGCAGATGTCGTACACCGCCTCGTTGTCCACCATGAAGGCGCAGTCAGAGTGCTCCAGAGTGGTGTGCGTGGTCAGGATGGCGTTGTACGGCTCCACCACCGCAGTGGACACCTGTGGCGCCGGGTAGATGGAGAACTCTAACTTTGACTTCTTCCCAAAGTCCACAGACAGACGCTCCATCAGCAGCGAGGTGAATCCTGAGCCAGTACCTCCACCGAAACTGTGGAACACCAGGAAGCCCTGCAGCCCAGTGCATGCTCCGACTGAGGACACAAATACATCAAAGTTGACTCATCAGAATACTCCAGCTCCTGATCCTCTAACACAGATGTCTCTAACCTTTTTCACCCATATCATCACATATTTGTTACCAGTGCACAATGTAAGTGCATTTGCGATAATAAATAAGTGAATTATACAATCTGACTGATGAAGTATGTTATTTGGTTTTATTCATTTCTAAATCCTTTGGCGAGCTACCTGGAAGGGGGTGACGAGCTATGATAGCTCCTGAGCTACAGGTTGGGAGACCCCTGCTCTAACATGACTCATCAGAATACTCCAGCTCCTGATCCTCTCACCAGAGAGGATCAGTTTCCTGATCTCACCAGTTTCCTGATGCGGTCCAGGACAACATCGATGATCTCTTTCCCAATGGTGTAGTGACCGCGAGCGTAGTTATTAGCAGCGTCCTCCTTCCCGGTGATGAGCTGCTCCGGGTGGAACAGCTGGCGGTAGGTTCCTGTTCGCACCTCGTCTAAAGTCAGTTTTTACAGTTTTAACAGAATGGAACAGTGACAGTAGGTTCTTGTGCTAAGAATCTGAACAGGTGGATAAACTCTCACCGATGACGGTGGGCTCCGGATCCACAAACACGGCTCTGGGGACGTGTTTCCCGGCTCCCGTTTCACTGAAGAAGGTGTTAAAGGAGTCGTCTCCCCCTCCCACAGTCTTATCGCTGGGCATCTGTCCATCAGGCTGAATGCCATGTTCCAAACAAAACAGCTCCCAGCAGGCGTTGCCGATCTGCACACCGGCCTGGCCCACGTGTACTGAGATACACTCATGCTGGACACACACACACACACACACACACACACAGACATTATTATGTTTATGTTTACTTTTATGCCCTGGGCTGCTCAGATGAAATGCCCCTGGTAAGATGAACCAACTTTCTGAGGCAGTTAATTTCTCCAGGTGTTCGTCCTGGACTGGTCCTGGTTCTGAGCGGCTTCAGTTTTCCATCAGAGCCAGTACTAGTTACCACAGTTAACATCTGGTATACATTGAACATCATTGTAAATTTCTCCATTGTGAGATCAATAAAGTATATCTTATATTAACAATGTTTTTTCTGTATTTCAGTCACATTCACCAGTTTTAGCACACATTAAAAGTGAGTAAAGGTTACTAAAGTACTTTACTAAGATAAATAAAGTGTGTGTCTCTGTCTTATTTCCCCCGCAATAGGCCTATTTCACGGTTGACGTCACAATGCGGAAGTAAATGAAATGTCGGGTATGACGACTTCCGGTGCGCTGTTTCTGTAAAGGACGACGAGAATGGATTCGGCCAGCGCTGTCACTCCCGTATTCGTCCCGGAAACCGGATTCGTCCGGAAGTTCAGTTTGATCCAATGAGCACAGGCAGCAGTAGATTACGTCACGGAATCTGGACGGAAGCGGAAGTAAATATAAAAAACTACCTATTCATGCCTAAACTTAACCAGCCATTCCCATAAAATAACCCCAACCCAGCCTTAACCCTAAACTTAACCATCTTAATCAGACGCCTAAAACTTAACCAGTCACCACTTAAAGGAATAGTTCACCGTTTTTACATACTGACATATGTTCTTACCTTACCTTAGACTAGTTAATACGTACCTGTCTGGTCTTAGTCCGTGCGCTCTGTCATGCAAACGGAGCAAAAACGGGAGCACAACCGCAGCCTCCTCTGTATACTGTATAGGACCCAAAAGGTAGCTCCCGCTAGAAGCTACCAAACTCTTCCAAGTGTTCCCTATTAAATGTATATAGTTACGTGACGTGTTACACTGCAAAGTATAGTAACACAGAAATGTAACAGTCGATTTTCTCAGCGGATTTTCAGCGCTCCTCAGATTACTACGCCTCACAATATAGTACCCGTTTTATCCGCTGAGAAAATCGACTGTTACATTTCTGTGTTACTATACTTTGCAGTGTAACACGTCACGTAACTATATACATTTAATAGGGAACACTTGGAAGAGTTTGGTAGCTTCTAGCGGGAGCTACCTTTTGGGTCCTATACAGTATACAGAGGAGGCTGCGTTTGTGCTCCCGTTTTTGCTCCGTTTGCATGACAGAGCGCACGGACTAAGACCAGACGGGTACGTATTAACTAGTCTAAGGTAAGGTAAGAACATATGTCAGTATGTAAAAACGGTGAACTATTCCTTTAAGGACATATTAAACTTTTGACATGCGCAAACTGAACTTCCGGACGAATCCGGTTTCCGGGACGAATCCGGGAGTGACAGGCCTATTGGGGTAAAGTCAGTACAGTGCAATAGTTCTGAGTGGAGTCTTGATAGAAAAACTTGTACCTGCATCACTTCCTGTAGTCGCCGGCTGTGTGTTGTGATTAGTGGTTCTTGAAGATGGGGGCGGGGCCAGTTTTCCTCCAGGCGGCGGTGGGAGCAGCCCCAGACCACCAGAGCTCTGTGGACGAGATCGATCCTTCTTCTTGGATTGCTGAAATGATGGTCATAAACATGTAGATAATCAAAACTCGTATGTGTTCTTTCTCATTTACAACTACTGTGTCCTATTTGAATTAGACCTCATTTAGCTCTAAAGAAAATCCCTGTTTCAGATCTGGCTTAGATTTGGCTAAACATTTCCCCAGGAGGCAGAAAAACACTGGACCCTAGGGTTGTGTCAAGGGCTGTGCGAACACTGAAGATTTTTTCCCTCATTCTCCCTATTTCTTCTTTCCATTTTCTTAAGCCTCTTTAAATATTTTGCTCCTGATAAATCATTGGGCCCAATCCACCGAAAACCACTCAATTGTTCATATGTTATTTTCATTTGGGCCCACAACCATAATCTTTAGTGTCACCAAATGCTTAGAGCCCAATCATAATTCATGAGTTAACACGTTAATAAGTTGTCATTAATTACCCTTAAAACAGGAAAAGGAGGATGTTACTTTAACTATTAAGGGAAAACCGTTACCCCAATATTAAAAGTTATTGTCTGGCCTTCTTTAAATCCCAAATCCAGTTTAGGAGTCGTGTCTGGAGCCTGTGCCTGTTTTGACAACTCAATGTCCTGTTTGACCCATCTGTAAAAAAAATTAAAAAAAATATATATATATATAATATGATCATAGAAATGAAGTTAGAATATAAAAAGAACACCCACTTGAAATGGTCTTGAAGTGCGACATTGAAGTCAAAGGCATCTCCTCGGTCTCCGAATCCAACACCTATGAATGCGCTGCGACCTGGGAACCAAATGGGTATGTGAAGATTTGAGCAAAAAGGGCTAAATATAGTAATAATTATCGTTTGCAGTCCTCACCACTTTCATCTTGGATTCTAAGCACAAAATAGCGGCTGGAGTTCTGCTGACACCAGTTCACAAAGTCCTGTATGACTCCTTTGTACTCTGCGTTGTCGTCCTCAGTGATGAGTCTGATGATGGCAGAGTCATCAGAGAACTTCTGTAGGACACAACCGTCCATGTCATGTTTGAAAGAGAGTGAAGAGGAATGTCATGAGGACGGCCCCCTGGGGGGCCCCAAACTGCAGGTCAGGACCTCAGCCATGCAGTCCCTGGCTCTCATAAACTGAGAGTGCCAATTATGTTTGTCTTTTCAGATTTTAAGCAAAATAAGACATAAGGTCAACCAAGCACGTGCAGCGCTGTAATAGCACAGCAGATCTCTATGTTCCGGGTCACGTTGGGTCATTGCAGCGGTCAGTCCCACACTGTTCAGCACATCAAACGAATGGGGAGATCAATTGTGGAAAACTATATTCGATGTAACGGATATTGGAAAGTAGTGACAAAATAACGCTGTCACGCTGTGGGAAGGAAAGCTGCTCAAGCGAATACTGAGACAGACTTGATACGAGAGACAGATTAATGACAAAACCTTGAGATCGTGTCACTCTGAAATTAAGCCGCAGGTCACTCTGGCCTAATATTTATACTGTTATTTTCCAACGTGTGCTCATTTTGCACATAAAATGTTAATATACCAAGATAAAAAATTATAAATATTATATTTATATTTCCAACAATAATTCTTACTATTTTGAATCTTGAACATATCCTTATCTATGTGTTGGAGCAATGAGTAATCATGTGTGCTGGAACAGAACATTTACATTTCAGAAGTGTGGTTACATTTATAACAATGATATTTGTTGTTATTTCAGTGTAAAATAAATTGGTTCATATTCTAAAAGAAATAATAAGTAGTAAAAAAAATAAAAAAAATACAAGGCCTCAAGTAGTAGTTACAAAGTCCTTCTGCTTATGGCTTTATTTAATTTATGCTTGCTAGTTTTCTGACACTTTACTTAATACTGAATATTAATTTAGGTGATGATGTTGTACAACCCCCACACCCTTAACTGTTGCTTCCCTAAAGAAATATTTGTTCAAGAAGGCTATCTTTTAAATTTAGCTTCACTTTGTGATGTTCAATGAAAACTCTGTTATTGATTACATGACATGAGACCATTACCATAAACAATTTTTATCCTGTTATTTTTAAGCAGTGATACGTCCATCCCGATCAGGAGAATACGTTTTTGGTATGACAGGGACCTCTGCCTGACTGTTTTATGTGATTGAAATAAAAAAATAAAATAAATCAAAGGCTTGTCAAACGAGCTGATCGTAAAAGCAGCAGGACACACATGCTGGGTCACTGCGAGGGCAGAGAGGATAAGACTTGTCCTGTCAGGTTTGAGAGCTCTGCATGGGTTGGTCAAATAATTTATGATACAATTTACTTCTGACTATGTATTCTTTGTCGAAACAATTTGAACTAATTAATACCGTGCTTACTCTAGTACTGTGGCGCTGAATGACTTATTTAATTATGTGGGCCTTGCGCCCTCTTCTGTATATGAAAAGTATTACTTTCATTGCAAATTCAATGCTAACGCTGTTTCTTCACATATTTTGATGATTTCTGTTGGCCTTAAGCCTAATGCCTAGCGTACATCGACAGAGAAACTGGGGACAACTAGTTGCAAGGCGGCTTTTGGCAACTGAGAGGAGATGGTGGGAGATGATCAGTTGCCGAAATCGGTCGATGTGCGCGCTCTTACAACTGGAGATGATCAGTCGGTCTCCAGTTCCAGTCAGTTGCCCGTGTTCTACTTTTCGGCAACTAGTTGTCCTCAGTTGCCCCGATGTGCGCGCTCCATGCGCCGCTCCAACAACGTGTGTGTATTGCGTGTATTGCGAGCCTGCAACAGTTTATGTCAGAAAACACACTGTGGTTGAGGCCAGTTGCTGTCGATGTACGCGCTGTTATTCAAGAGACTGGCCTGCGACTCAGAGTTGCCCGTTTTCGCCAGATTGTCGATGTGTGCGGGGCAGCAACTCAGAGGCGACGGATATAATCAGTTGCCAGTCCGATGTACGCTAGGCTTTACAGTGCAAAAACGTAACAGTATTTATACAATCTGTAAATCTAAACTTCATTATTAAGTTTTTCCTATGGCAAGCGTTAGAAAATACTAAGTTCTAAAATGTATGTTCACTCATTCAATCGATGCATAGGTGGATAGATTATGCTCTTTAAACGTTGCCATGGAGACGTTGCCATGGAAACCTCCGCTTAAGTGACATCATAAAGGATTATGTCATTTAGAAGGCAGGCCTTTAAGTTCACTGGTACTCAACCAGAGAGGGAGAGGACAGGGACAGACACGGAGGTAGAGGTAGAAATAGAGACAGACAGAGACAGACAGAGGCAAACACAGGCAAACAGAGGCAGACAGAGAGGGGGGAGAGAGGGAAGCGGAAGCAACATAAGTCGGCTTATTATTAAGATAAAGTTTATTTAGTTGAGTTGTATTTCTCATTTTAAGAAAAGCAGTATGCGGGATTTTGATGGGAATTGCGTCTCAAATGACATTGTTTCTCAGATCTCCACAGAGCAACTAAAGTCTGTTGCACTGAGGTACTGGAAACAGGCCCTGCAGATGACAAAGCCCAAGAAAGTCCTGGCAGAGATGTTATTGGAAATAATTGACACTCTGTCTAATAATATTTTGGACCTCTTGAGTCAACCAGAGTGCCCCCTGGTGTCACAGGAAGACATCAGCAGAGCTCTGGAGCCCTGTCTGACGGATATCTTTGATTTCCTATTGAGCACCTCACACGACGCGTGTGCTCCGCTCTTCAAGGCCTTGAGCGCAGTAGTGTGTAGCAGTGTCAACGCTGGGCAGAGCCACAGTGAAATACAGACCAAAACCTCATACGTGCCCCCCAAAGAACATCTGGTCAAAATGATGCACTTGATCAAACCCCTTTTACGTTTCGCCAGAGATCAGGAATGTCGGAAACATTACTCGGAGCCTCTGCCTGATGTCGCACAGCAGACCAATGCTGTGCGACATCACAGCACAGACTTTAGCACACGTGGTCCTCAAGTGTCGGAGGAAAGTGAATGCTCGGATTCTGAGAATGAAACTAGATCTACAGAGATGAAAGTCAGCTCTGACACCAGGAAAGTGACTCCACCAATGGCGTCCAAAAACACCATAATACAAATTCAATACATCGCTGAAGAGGCTGCTACGGAAATGTTGCTCAAGGGCCAGGAGAACAAGTCTAAGGAGCTGCTGAGACCACTATGTAAGGACCAGGAAGCCGCTTCACAGGTGGAAATCCAATGGAACGACCAGCATTGGTCTTACCTGCTGCAAGAAGTGTGCTTTCGGGTGTTGGCTACCTCAGAGGAAAATAATATAGAGCAACTCTTCCAGCTTCTCTTGAAGTATGTGGAGCAACACAAATCTGAATGTATTGTTCGGGTCAAACCTGATCTGCATCACATCAGAGAAGCAGCTAATGCGATACACCAAGCTGTGATTGCAAACCTTGGGGAGTGGATGCTATTCACAATCATGATGGAACCTGAGTTCAGCGCCGCCACCATCACAGACTGCATCCTGAAAAGGGTAAGCATGCCACAACAAATAGGCTTTATCCAGGAAAGAGCCTCATTGGAGTCTTTCGATGAGACCAACACATCTCTAAAATCAGAGACAGCACACAAGACACCAGACATGGTGTACAGGGCGTGGTTGGACTATAAAGCGAGAAAGAAACCCCCTTTACCAGAAGAATACATACCAGCTGAGCAAAGGGCTGCCACACAGGACCATGAAGACTTCATGTGGAGTAATTCTGACTGGTCCAACCTGGTGTTTGAGTTGTCTGCTCTGGTGTTTGGCACCAGAAACCCACATAAACTGGCAAAGTGTTCCATGTTGCTCTTTGGACATGTGCAGACATTTAAGGATAGGTGCAATGTTCGTATGAAACCTGATGAACACAACATTGAGGACGTGGCAAATCAAATTTACAAAGACCTGCGCCAAATTTATCCCAAAAAGGCACTGCGTTTGATAGCCTTTTCCGACCCACACGTCATCACAGCGGGCATCCCCAAACAACTAGAGAGGATCCCTAAGAAGCGTACACTAGGCACTGTCCTGAGGTCCGTGTGTCGGGCCATCTTCAGGAGGTGTTAAGTCCAGGGAGTGTCTGACCACCATTGTGACCGTGTTCTTGGCTGCTCATTGTGCTTAGGCTATATCCACACAAAGACAAAACGCTTATAATTTCAGAAACTTTTTCTGTAAACACGGAGTTAGCTCAGTAAATGTGTGCGTCCATATGAATGTAGTCAATACGCCTGAAAACGCTGTGAAACTATGCCAGACCTGTTGGTGGCGCTGTGACGCAATGACGGGATCAAGCCCAAACTTCCGTGACGGGAACTGGGCATGCGCAGAATTTTGTAAACAGACAACATGGCGAGTGGGCGAGCTGGTACTACATTAGTATGGACGGACGATGAGGTTGAACTGTTGCTTCGGGTCGCACTGGATTACAAAACCAACAAGCTACATTGTTGTTGTCATTATTTTCTGAGTGCGGCGCATGCGTGCTTTAACAAGAGGCGGGGCGATGACGCAAGCGTCTCAGATACATTGCGGAGAGGCAGTAACCACGGAGCGGCATATACGGAGTTTTGAAATCTTTCCACTCTGGGACCTACTTTCAAAAATGTTCGTTTACACCCCCCCAAAACGCCGGCCTCGTTAAGGCCCTGTCCACACAAAGTCAAGCTCAGGCCTAAACGCAAAAATACTTTATCAATCCAGTGTATCGTCCATACGAGGCCGGCGTTTTGGGGGGGTGTAAACGAACATTTTTGAAAGTAGGTCCCAGAGTGGAAAGATTTCAAAACTCCGTATATGCCGCTCCGTGGTTACTGCCTCTCCGCAATGTATCTGAGACGCTTGCGTCATCGCCCCGCCTCTTGTTAAAGCACGCATGCGCCGCACTCAGAAAATAATGACAACAACAATGTAGCTTGTTGGTTTTGTAATCCAGTGTGACCCGAAGCAACAGTTCAACCTCATCGTCCGTCCATACTAATGTAGTACCAGCTCGCCCACTCGCCATGTTGTCTGTTTACAAAATTCTGCGCATGCCCAGTTCCCGTCACGGAAGTTTGGGCTTGATCCCGTCATTGCGTCACAGCGCCACCAACAGGTCTGGCATAGTTTCACAGCGTTTTCAGGCATATTGACTACATTCATATGGACGCACACATTTACTGAGCTAACTCCGTGTTTACAGAAAAAGTTTCTGAAATTATAAGCGTTTTGTCTTTGTGTGGATATAGCCTAGAGTGAACCACTCTAAGCACCGACCAGGACCTGTAATTGTTATGGCCTATAAATAAATAAATGCAAATTCAAAATATTTTTTTTTTAAGTATATTATTATTATATTAAAAACTTTTATGTATATTTTGCAACTATACAAAAGGACACCAATAATTATGTAGTTGCTGTTTTATCTGATGAGCTCTGAGTAAGCTTCAAATGTAAAATTATTTATTTTATGTTTTTCTGTTGAGAAAGTAAGCTTTGCCTGAAGCCCCTGCTGAAAGATCAAGGCTCCTGTGGACTCTCCACCTGCAAGAGGATCAGTGAGGGGTTGGTATTAAGTTTACTGGGTGCAGCTCTGACTGCCACCCCCGACCCAGAAATGGATCAAGGGGTAGAAAACAGATGGATGGATGGAAAGTACACTTATAACGTGCATTACTTCCACAATCATATTGTGTATGTGTGCTCCAAGCAGCAATTATATTTGGGAATAGATCTGCTCTTCTGTTCATTTGTTTAGAAAAATCTAATAAATTAAAATAAAAAGAGCTGTTAGAAATCTGTTATAAAGAGAGAAAAAACAGTGTTTCGTGATGGAGAGAGGTGGAGCAAAGGGAAGGAGGAGGAAGAGGGGAAGACAAAGACTCATAAAGGAAAAGCAGCGGACGACAACACAAACTTGTAAGTATGAATTATCACCGCTGCAACTATAACTATACTCTCTTTTCATAAAAACACAATAGCAAGAGCACTTTTGAAATGTAAAGGTGGATCTCTGGGTTATAGTGCCTTGACTACATGATATATTGATTTTCAAATTATGATAAAATGATAATTATGTCACATTTTATTGAAGATGAAGCAATATCTTAAAGCTCTTAACATAAAAATGGCTCTTTATCTATCTATACATGCCAGACGAATAGTAAACCCATACAGATATAATACATTGTTGAGCCAAAATGGTTGTATTTCCTTATATTTTCAGTATTTCAACTTGTACTCACACACTTTTTTTTCTTCTCGCAAATCACTCTTTAAATCAAATTAGAGGAAGCATGCACTGACTCTCCTGGGGGAATGTTTAGGAATGTATTTTCATTATATTTCTCTTGCCGAGCTCTTCCCCATATTGTAGAAGATTCAGTACGCAAGAGAAGGTTTGAAGATTAGTTGTTTGAGCATAAATCTGCAGAAGAATGCTCAAAACACAAAAGAGGGTGGAGATTGTTTAAATGAGGCACAAAAAAACAACACATTCTTTAGTGGGAACTCATGTCTTGGAGGCTGATGTTACAATGACATACTGTTGTGAGATGGTCTTTTGTCCATTGTATGTTACCGTAGTTGGGTATGCTAACCAGGAGGGGGCACTAGAATTCCAGTTGAGAACTGAGTCTGACACATGGCTGACGTTACCCCATGCTGTAGTGCAATAAAGGCTTTTCTGAAGAAGACCACAACGCGTGTCTTGCCTCATATCATGACATGGTGTCAGAATTGACGACTTCACGCCGACATTGAGAGCACGATGGCAAAGTTTGGACCTCCCGAGCCTTTTGATTTCACGCAGCCAGCGGAGTGGCTCACGTGGCGGCAGAGATTCTCCCGGTTTCGAGTCGCATCAAAACTTGACAAGGAGAGCGGCGAAGTGCAGGTGAACTCGCTCTTGTACTCTATGGGGAGAGATGCCGAACCTATTTACGGCTCATTTGTGTTTCCTGCGGCGACCGAGGGCATGCCACATCCAGAGTACGACTTTAATCTGGTTATTCAGAAGTTTGATGAACACTTTGTCCCGAAGAGAAACGTCATCCACGATCGCGCCTGTTTTCATAAGCGGAGCCAAAGGGCCGGTGAGGCAGTCGAAGCTTTCGTGCGGAGCCTGTACGAGCTTGCACAGCATTGTGAGTTCGGTGCGGGGAAGGACGAGCAGATCCGGGACCGGATTGTTATTGGAATAATGGACAAAGAGGTTTCTCAAAAACTCCAGTTAGAGGCGGACCTGACACTGGAGCGAGCCATCCAACTTGCACGTCAAAGTGAACAGGTGAAACAACAAAGTGCAGAGCGTGTGGAAATTACAGTGAATGAGGTGAGACAGAAACAATACAATAGCACAAGGAGGAGCTATGATAAACCGCACCAGGGATATGGACAGAAATACAATGAGAATAAACTTAACTGTCAGAGATGCAACAGGATGCATGATAAAAAGGAAAGCTGTCCAGCCCGTAACAAAAGGTGCAGAAAATGCAATAAAATGGGACATTTCGAGGCCGTGTGTAAGTCCAAGATGCTGAAAGAAGTCAGAGCAGAGACTGGTATGGACTCAGATGAAGATTCATTTTTCATTGGAGAACTATTCTTGGGAGCAACCACTAAGTCTAAGCCAAACATCATTGTGGAGTCAAACGCTGATACTGACTGGGATGTAGAGCTACTTGTGAATGGCACTGCAGTGGATTTTAAAATTGACACTGGGGCAGATACCACCGTTATGGCTGAAGAGACTTTTCGAAAACTACGCTACAAACCGAAACTGAACACGTCTAGGCCCACGGTGTACAGCCCAGGTGGGAAAGTCAGATGCGTGGGTAAGTTCCTTGCCACCACTACATACAAATGTCAAAAATATCAGTACTGGATTACAGTCATAAAAGAACAATACGTCAGTAACTTGTTGGGTAAGGATGTAGCAAAGCGCATGGGGCTAGTAGCCAGAGTTAATGCCATCACTACTGACTTAACCAGTGATGTGTTTGGGGAAATAGGTCTACTGAACTGTGAGCCAGTTAAGATTGAGTTGACTGAGGAAGCGGTCCCATACAGCGTCAACACGCCACGCAGGGTTCCGTTTCCGCTCCTCCCAAAAGTGGAGAAAGAGCTAAAGCGCATGCTAACTCTCAATATCATTGAGGAGGTTACAGAGCCGACAGACTGGTGTGCCCCAATGGTGCCTGCTCCAAAACGCAACAAGGACGAGGTCAGAGTATGTGTGGATTTAAAACGTTTAAACAAGGGAGTAAAGCGTGAACGTTACATTTTGCCCACACTGGATGATATTACACCTAAGCTAGCGGGAGCCAAGGTTTTCTCCACTCTGGATGCTTCTAGCGGGTTTTGGAAAATTCCATTAGACCCCAGCTGCCAGAGATTGACCACTTTCATTACCCCAATGGGCCGGTTTTGCTTCAAACGCCTGCCATTTGGCATTACATCAGCGCCTGAGATTTTCCAGCGGCTGATGACCGACCTGCTTAAAGGCCTAGAAGGGACTGTCGTTGTAATGGACGACATCCTGGTCTATGGATCTACAAAAGAGGAGCATGATCGCCATCTCGACAAAGTGTTACGGACGGTCAAGGCGTCCGGTCTCAAGCTCAATAAGTCCAAATGTCACTTTGGAAAGAGTGAACTGCAGTTCTTCGGTCACATCATTAGCGCGGATGGAGTGAAGCCTGACGAGAGTAAAGTGGAGGCTATCGCTAAAATGTCCAGCCCCTCAAACGTGGAGCAGCTGCGGCAGGTTCTTGGATTAGTGAACTATGTGGGAAAATTCCTACCAGGCCTGTCTACGGTGCTGCATCCACTCACGAATCTTCTCAAAAAAGAGACTGCATGGGCGTGGGCAGCGCCTCAAGAGCAAGCATTTAACAAAGCAAAAACGATGCTCATGGCTGCACCTGCCCTTTGTTACTACAACGTTAACAAATCAACAGTAGTCAGTGCCGACGCGAGTAGTTACGGCCTTGGTGCTGCCCTGTTGCAGGACCACGAAGGTGAGTTGCGGCCTGTTGCCTTTTGCTCGCGCACACTTACTGATGCAGAGAAGAGGTATTCGCAGATCAAAAAGGAGTGTCTAGCGTCAGTCTGGGCTTGTGAACGCTTCGCCCGCTACATACAAGGTATGGGCCATGTCCGTTTACAAACTGACCACAAGCCACTGGTACCGTTGATCAACTCGTACGATCTTGACAAAACGCCACTACGGTGTCAGAGACTGCTTATGCGCCTTATGCGATTCAATGTTACTGCTGAACATGTTCCCGGTAAGCAGCTAGTAGTCGCAGACATGCTCTCTAGGCATCCATTGGAAAATAGTTATGTGCCTGAAACGGAAACACAAGTAAAGGCATACGTGAACACTATAGTAGCTAGCAAACCAATAAAGTCACCCAAGCTTGAGGAAATTCGCAGAGCCACACAAAGCAATGATGACCTTCAAAAAGTAATCACATTCATCAGAAAAGGGTGGCCTTGCAAAATAGCTGGGGACTCACCACTGCGCGGATACTATGCGGCCAGAGGTCACTTATCAGAGTCTGACGGTCTAGTCCTATACCACGACCGCATAGTAGTTCCAGCGGTGCTTAGAGATGATGTTCTGGACCAACTGCATGAGGGCCACCAGGGCCTCACAAAGAGTCGCGAGCGAGCCAAGCTGACTGTTTGGTGGCCAAACATCGGGACACAGATCACAAACAAAGTGAATTCATGTGACTTTTGCAGAGAACACAAACCAACGCAGAGACGTGAACCACTGGTAACCACTCCCCTACCTAGTGGCCCATGGCAAAGGATTGCTGTTGACCTGTTTGAGTTACAATACAATACAATACAATTTATTCTTGTATAGCCCTAGGTCACAACAGAAGTCATCTCAGAGGACTTAACAAAACCATTGAAATCACCAACACAGGTCAGAGAATCAACAGTTAAAACACATGAAGAATATAAAGCACACACAGAAAAAAATGTCCATACATGTTGTAGAATGCTAAAGTGTCCTGATCATCACCAATCCTTTCTGTTGGACACTAACTGTCAAACAAGACCCTCCTGCATCGACAAGGAAAAACTCTTAAAAAACCCAGTGGGAAAAAGTGAGAAACCTTGGAGGAGAACTAGGGAAACCCACAGGGAGGGAGACCCATATGAGAAAGGGATCCGCTCCTCCGGACGGACAGGCTAATGATCTAGGACCTAAGCTAGCTACAGAACGTGGACCAGTGGACGCTGAACGTGGACAGGTCCGGTGCAGGACCGAAGCACTCCCAGGCGGGTCGGGCGGGGCAGTCCGCAGGTGTAGATGGAAGAGGCCAGGCTCAGAGATCCCGTCATCGTACCATGAAACAGACAATGGGACAACGGGTGAATAGCAATGAACAAACTACAGTCAGAATCCTAAAAATGCTAAACAGATAAAGTAGGAAGGAGGAGAGGATAGTGCTCAAGTTACCATACTTCTCCCAGCAAACTGACTCCCTATGCAGCTTGACTAACACTCTGAGGAGTTTAACCTTCTCCGAGTCTTACCTTCCTAGCCATATGCTAAACTAAAGAGGACTGTTTTAAACCTAGCCTTGAATAAAGAATAACATACAGCATAATATATAACATAATATACAACATAACACAATACATTATTGAATAATATATAACATAATATATAACATAATACAGCATATATATATAATATATACACTACATATTATATATTACCTAATTATATGCTAAATTAAAGTAAAGTGCTTTAAGCCTGGCCTTGAATGTGGAGACTGTATCTGCTTCCTTAACATAAATGGGAAGCTGATTCCACAGTAAAGGAGCTTGGTAGCTAAATGCTCTGCCACCAACAGTGACCTTTGAGACCTTAGGGACCACCAGACGTCTGGCGTTTTGTGAGCGCAACGCTCGACCTGGTTGATACGACACTAACGTGTCTTGGAGATAAGAGGGAGCCAAGCCATTTATGGCTTTATATGTTAAGAGTAGGATTTTAAACTTTATTCTGTACTCCACAGGGAGCCAGTGGAGTGATTTTAACACCGGAGTTATGTGCTCCCTCCTTTTGGTACCTGTTAAGATCCTAGCTGCTGTATTCTGAACGAGCTGGAAGCTCTTCAAAGAGGCTTTAGGGCACGCTGCCAGTAAAGCGTTACAGTAGTCAAGCCTTGAGGTGACAAACGCGTGAATGAGTTTTTCCGCGTCACTTTTAGGAAGGAAATTCCTAATTTTAGCGATGTTCCGTAAGTGGAAGTACGCCGTTTTAGTTGCTTGGCTTATATAAGCCTTGAAGGAGAGTTCTTGGTCAAAAATGACTCCAAGATTCCTCACAGTGTTACTGGGTATTATACTGACATTATCGAGAGTAACCATCTGGTTAGTGAGGGAGTCACGCAGGCGCTTCGGACCGAGTAGGATCACTTCTGTCTTCTCCGGGTTGAGAAGTAGGAAGTTAAGAGTCATCCACATTTTAAGGTCCTTTATGCAGGCACTGAGCTTTTCTAGCTGATCTGTCTGATTAGGCTTCATCGACAGATAAAGCTGTGTGTCATCTGCATAGCAGTGGAAATTAATTCCATGCTTTTTAATAATGTTTCCCAGTGGCAGCATGTAGAGAGTAAAAAGAATCGGTCCGAGTACCGAACCCTGCGGCACACCGAATTCCACTCCAGAATAAGGCGACGAGTCCTGATTCACATTGACGAAGTGATATCGATCTGATAAATAGGATTTAAACCAGCCAAGGGCTGTTCCTCTAAGACCTATATCACATTCTAGCCTCTGCAGTAGAATGCTGTGGTCTATTGTGTCAAATGCAGCACTAAGGTCCAGTAGGACCAGCACTGACACTTGTCCATTATCGGCAGCTAGTAGTAAGTCATTTGTGACTTTGACTAGTGCCGTTTCAGTGCTATGATGAGCTCTGAATCCTGATTGAAAGACTTCAAACATATCATTTTCCTGCAGGTGGCAGCGGAGCTGCTCAGCTATAAGTTTTTCCAGGATTTTAGATATAAAAGTGAGGTTTGAGATCGGTCTGTAGTTTGTAAGTATTTCTGGGTCCAGGTTTGTTTTCTTCAGAAGGGGTTTGATTACCGCGGTTTTAAAAGCTTGTGGGACATAGCCACATTGTATGGATGCGTTTATTATATTTACGATAGGCTCAATTATCAAAGGAAGTTAGTCTTTGAAGAGCCATGTCGGGACTGCGTCTAACATGCAAGTTGAGGCTTTTGAGGATGTGACCACAGAGATCACCTCTGCTTGGCTCACAGCCATGAATTTATTAAGGCCCACTGAAGAGTCTAAGTGGGAAGTCACGTATGCCGCTTCAACCTGTCCACCACTAACAGCAGGAGCAACCTCCTCCAGCTTGTCACGGATGGATGTAATTTTATTATTAAAGAAGTGGAGAAAGTCGACACTGCTCAGTGAGCTTGGAATTTTAGGCTCGATTGCGCTATGGCAGTTTGTGAGTTTAGCGACGGTGCCAAACAAAAATCTACTGTTGTTTTTATTCGCTTCTATTAAAGTTGAATAGTATTGAGTTCGAGCCCCGCGAAGGGCCTTCTTGTAGTTTCGGAGACCTGCTTTCCACTCCCTGTGGACAGGCTCCGAGTGGGAGTGGCGATATAGCCTCTCCAATTTTCTGACGTCCTGTTTTAAAGTGTGGAGTTGAACACTGTACCAGGGCGACGATGATCTAATCCTAATGGTTTTCTGTTTTAAAGGAGCTGCTGCATTTAATGCAGATTTTAAAGACTCCATAGTGTTGCCCACCGTTTGGTCAATGACTGAGGGACTGCAGCTGCTGTGAACAGGTTCACCTGCAGCAGTATTCAACATAGGCTGTATTAGTTCTTTGAACCTTGTGATAGATTTATCATTTAAGGTTCTTTTCATTATGGTTTTAAGTCCTATCTTGTTGCTGTCGATTATTTTTCCAGAGACATTGAAATTTCTTCCCTCACCACCATTACAAGCAGGCAGGTAATCAATAAGCGCAAACGCATGTTTGTGAGGTGGGGAATCCCGCTTGAACTGGTCAGTGACAACGCAACGCAGTTCACATCAGCGGAGTTCAAAGAATTCAAGCGGAGGTATGGTTTTTCTCACATTACCTCCAGCCCACATTACCCACAGTCGAACGGAGCTGCGGAGAGAGCTGTTCAGACTGCCAAGTACATCCTTAAACAACCTGACCCCTGCTTGGCCCTTATGGGTTATCGCTCTACACCGATCGCAGCTACAGGTGCAAGTCCGGCACAGCTCATGACTGGTAGACAAATCCGTACCACTGTTCCTGTCCTGGAAGAGGCATTGCTGCCACGTCCATTCAACCCGGACCATGTTTACATGAAGGATGCAATGGCTAAGGGTTCGTACAGGTTCTTCTATGACCGCAGGCATTCAGCTCGCGCGCTCCCTGAACTTCACCCTGGCCAGCCTGTTAGAGTGAAGCTCGATGGGGAGAAAGGATGGACAACACCTGCCAGGGTCATCAGTTTATCCAAAGAGCCGAGATCCTACCTTGTGGAGATGGCAAATGGAAACGTGACCCGTCGGAACAGGCGTCATCTCCAGTCTGTTCCTGAGGCCGAACCTCCTGCAGAGCACCCTTGTGCCCAGCCTACAGCATCGCTGCAGGACAGCGGGTTCCCACTGACGGATGTGACTGTGCCACCTGAACCACCAGCTAGCCAGATGCCAGCGGGCCCTTCCAGTGAGTCTCCCCTTGCACCATCTACACCCGTGAGGACGACTTCCAGAGGCCGTGAGATAAGGGTGCCTCTAAGATTTAAAGACTGACTCAAAAGGGCAGAATAATCCCTTTCAGGACCGAGGGCAGTCTACCCTGTGAAGTCCTGCATCGTTCTGAGACTGTTTGTAAAAGAATAAAAAAAAAAAGTTGATGCATAAAGTTTGTGCAGGAAAGTGTTTATTTTGTTATATTGCAGTTGAAAATTCAAAGCTAAATTAAACAATGAAGAGATTGAGGGAAAATTTTGTAGTAATTAATATTGATATTGTTGAGATAAATAAGAATGGTTGGGTTCTCTTACTGCTAACATTGAAAGAGGGAGATGTTGTGAGATGGTCTTTTGTCCATTGTATGTTACCGTAGTTGGGTATGCTAACCAGGAGGGGCACTAGAATTCCAGTTGAGAACTGAGTCTGACACATGGCTGACGTTACCCCATGCTGTAGTGCAATAAAGGCTTTTCTGAAGACCACGACGCGTGTCTTGCCTCATATCATGACACATACTAAGGGTGGAATGATTGAAAGAAAAAAAAAATCTGTACCATTATAGGAATGCACAATACGGTCAAGTTGAAAGCAGGTTTTATGTATATATAAAATCTGCTTTCAACTATTGTAGTGTATACATTATTATATTTTGTCTTGCAACTGAACTGGAAAAGGCTTTTACTCATGAAATATCCAATAGGACACGTATTTAGGTCTGTTGTTTAAGGAGTACTTTTATTTCTTTACAATCACTGCGCAATCACTGCACCTTATTACTTGGTGCTTTTTGTTAGTGCTGTTACACAATATCTTTATGGAGAGAAAATCGAGGTGTAAATCCAATCTTTCTAGGCATTTATTTAAAGTTTTATAGGTGAATTTATTTTTTGATTGTCCTAGAATGACCAATGCCAGTACTGTTGGACACAATATATTAAAAGGATCAGGATATTTCAGAGCTAACTCCCCCTTTAGATCAAGTTCACACAGTTCTTTATTGGTTGGTAAAAAGCTGTAGAGAGACTGTCTTCTGGGGGGTCCTAAAAAGTCCAAATCAGGCAGTCATAAACAATATTTGCCAATCAAAGCGAATCTTCACTTGAGAAAAAGGTCTTGTAAATGTCCCTAATAGCTCTCATTTAATTTAGTTAATATTTGCCATGATTATACTGCCATCTATTGGTGAAACATGAAACGGAACTAACAAGCTCATTACGTTTTGACCCGACCCCAATTCGGGCGTTCTGCTCTCCCAAAATTTCATCCACTGAGCGGCGCTGTGATCAAAAAATGACACCGTTTGTTGCCCAGTTCACTTCCGGTTGATTTCATACAATGGCGAATATGGCTCACGAAAACAACAAACAATTGACAGTGCCTGAATTGCGTGAAAGGTTGAAGCGAAAGGGTATTTGCAGTGTGGGAAAACGAAAGGAGGAATTGTTGTTGCTAGTTCAACGAGCGGATGGTGTTTATGAAGATTTAGAAGAAGATGACAGCGAGCAGAGTGAACGAAAACGGCTGTGTGTGCGAGTGACAGATGGTAACAATGAGAATGAAGTTCAGCTAAGAGGGAAGAATGTGAATTGGACGGATGATTTGCGCGATATGCCACTAGTTAGAGACGGGAATGTATTTGCATACAGAAAATGACGAAAACACTCAACCATTTAGAGAAAATGCGCCGGGCAGAGAGAACCGGTTGCGAAGGCAAGTGTTACCCATAATGCAACGCAAAATTCAGTCGCTCCCCCGCCCATCGGATGGAATTTTGGGAGAGCAGAACGCCCGAATTCAGTGCGCACTCAGCCAATTCAGCGCCATAGACTGCCGCATTTTTCCCGGTCTCAGGTAAAATCCATAAAATGTTAATAATTGTACAATAATATCTAGAGTAACAAGATGTTAATGTATGTTTTGTATTTAAGTAGACACTGAGACGAAAGCAGTGTGTTTTGCGGCCAAGTTGAGCTATTAGCCCCTCGTGGAAGTCAGCTCACGAGGTTCGTTTCTTTTTTGTGTACTTTTATTTTCATATACACACAAATGTATTTTAATACGTTTTTTGTATGTGATTCTTTTTGTGAGCAGTTCTCACGGGTTGCAAGGGTTCCAAATACAAGAATAAACCCTGTTTTATCTACCTCGTGCTCATGCTATTTCCTGAGGGTGCTACAGTGAGAACTCTTCTGCTCCGCATGGGTAGACGAGACTGCCAGCGCCAGGGTGCAGAGGGACGACAGCGCCTCCATTAACCACGGCCATATGCACAACAAGCAACTAAAGCGGGAAATCCAGGTTTCCAAATGAATGTTGCCACAAGGACTAAGTTTATTTTATAAGTGAATAATATAAACACAAAGGACAATTATAATAAGTAAGAAGACACAGTATTTCATCTGTTGTTGATCTGAGGACTGAAATAATTTTCAATTGATTTTTGTTTCAAGTTTAAATGATTTTGCATACAATATTATTATTTGTGTTCATGCTAAGTTACTACAGTGTTCATATTTGATTGTTATCAGTTATAGTTGATGAAAGGATTTTATTATTGGTATATTCAAGATGTATGCTTGCTTATACTGTGATTTAGGTCAAACAAAATAAGTCAAGTTTAAGTTACACTTAGACAATTTTATAATATTTACTGTGCTATTAAGTTACATTAGTGTACAGTAACAGTTATATAAGCCAATAACGTCTTTATTTAACATCAAATATCTGATTGAACCCTAAGATATTCCTATCAATACCAAACAAAGTAGTAGTAACCAATGGCGAACGTTAATGCTCTCTCTGAAGTTGGTGAAGAAAGTGATGAGACACTGAAGATAAATGAGCCACAAGATGAATCCAATAGCGTTGCAGATGATAATTCCACTCGTTCACAAGATGCACAAAGAAGTATTAGTATTAGATAGCAATATGGCCTACGTGCAGGACTCTACAAGGACTCTACAAGGACTCCATGTTATGACTATGATGTGACTGTCTCTTTGTGACACGTATGTCTTTCGATGTGTGACGTGACAATGACTATATAAACTGTGTACTGCCTTTATTCTGTCTGAGGGAAAGAAACAGAGTAAACCAGTGGAATTTGAGAGAAACTTAAATAAACTTCCAGAGTTTGGCACACCACGATCCGTCTCTGTCTGCTAAATCCTAACAGATTTGGTGGAGAATGCGCGGCTCAGTGTGTGCCATTCTCTGGATTGTTTTGAGGGAGCTTGCTCTGTTTCTTTTCCCAACTAAGGAGGGAAGTTTATGCTTAGAACATCCAAAGGATACAGAGTCAGTATTTAAGTTTGCTGCAGCATCAAAGACTAACTCAAAGGTGTCCAGCTGTCACTCCAGCAGACATTCCAGTAAAAGGCAAGATGCTGCGGCTGAAGTTGCTGCAAATGAAGCTGCTTTAGAAGTTCTACTTGAACAAGAAAATCGAATCAAGGAGATTGAAAAACAAGAAGCAGAACTTGCACAAAGGCAAAGAGATTTAGAAGCTAAGCGCAGAGAAGTAGAGCGGCTGGAGACAGTTAAAAACTAAACGCTGCTAAAGCAAGGCAACAAGTGTATGAACATAGTGAGTGTTCAGATGAAGAAATATATGATCTGCTTCACTAGCGCACATCTGACAATGAAAAGAAAGTGAAGTCAGACAACAAAGACTCTCCTATTAAAATGCAATGTGCTTCACAAAAAATGATGGCTCCATTTGAAGCAAACACAACAGAGCTAGTTAGAGCATTTGCAGAGTCTCTAAGTGTGAGTCGTCTCCCGGTCCCAGAGCCAACTATATTCAGTGGCGACCCCCTCAAGTACAATGACTGGAAGATTTCCTTTCAAACGCTCATAGACAGGAAAGGTATACCAGCTGAGGAGAAGTCATACTATTTGAGAAAGTATCTGAGTGGACCTGCCAGACAGGCCATAGAAAGCTATTTTCTTCTTGGCACAGAGCCAGCCTACTACACACAGCATGGGAAGTTCTTGAAGAGAGGTATGGCAATCCATTCCTCATAGCCAAGGCATTCCGAGACAAACTCGATGCATGGCCAAAGATAAGTTCAAAGGGCAGTGTGGAACTTCGAGAGTATGCAGATTATCTTCGCAGTTGTAATGCAGCTATGGCACAAATCAAAGGACTTGAAGTGCTTAATGACTGCAACGAAAACCAAAAAATGCTTGCCAAACTACCTGACTGGCTCACATCAAGCTGGAATAGAAAGGTAACAGAAATGCAAGAAATATACCACACGTTCCCAAGCTTCAGCCGTTTTGCAGAGTTTGTGTCCTATGAAGCCAAAATTGCATGTAATCCCATTACATCTCTCCATGCTCTCAAACCAAGTGAAGGTGAAAAGATTCTAAAGTGCCAAGGAACCGAACTTATGGTGCTATGGTTATGGCGACTAATTCCAATGAAAAAGCTGGCAGCTGTATCTACTGTGAAAGATCGGGCCACTGTCTACAAAAGTGTTGGAAGTTCATGAATGAGAACATTGGAGAAAGACTAAAGTTTGTACAAGAGAAGAGGTTATGCTTTGGCTGCTTAAAATATGGCCATCGCTCAAAGGATTGCGAAAGCAGAGAATCTTGCGACACATGCAAGAAAAAACATCCAACATGTCTCCATGACACTCGAACTAAGGAAGAAAGAACTCCAACGAAGAGTAATCAAGCAAATAGCAATGACAAGACAAAACAAAGAAAGATAAAAGATACAGATTCAACCACACAAGCTACAAATGTCACAACTAGTGAAGCCACTTCAAACAGAGTAATGCAAAACTCTAAAGACACTCACACATCCTCGATCATACCAGTGTGGGTATCAGCTGAAAGTGAGCCAGAACGAGAAGTTCTAGTCTATGCGCTCCTTGACACACAGAGCGACACTACCTTTATTTTAGGAGAGACTGCAACAGCTCTAAATACTAAAAGTGAACCTGTTCAATTAAAACTGACTACTATGTCTTCAAGGAACGCAGTTGTCTCATGTCACAAGATCTCTGGTTTGCAAGTGAGAGGATTTAACTCCAACAAGATCATTACCCTACCAGCAACATATGCAAGGGACTTCATTCCAGCAAATCGAGATCACATTCCGACACCCGAAACTGCAAAGTTTGGTCACATCTTGAACACATTGCAGATGAAATCGCTCCACTTCAAAGCTGCGACGTTGGTCTTCTGATCGGCTACAACTGTCCTCAAGCACTAGTTCCCCGTCAGGTGGTGTCTGGCAAGGAAAATCAGCCATTTGCACAAAGAACCGATCTGGGATGGAGCATCGTGGGCTTTGGAAATCCATGTTTTGATTTTGGAGATCCGTCTGGAATGAGTCATAAGGTTATTGTTAAGAAAGTGGTGCCTGGTGCTCAAACATCTTCAAACCTCACCAATGAAGTGCATTATGTTTACAGGACTCAAATCAAGGAGATTGTTTCACCTGCTGATGTACTAAGAATGTTGGAGTCTGACTTTGTGGAAAAAGCCTCAGAAGATGTTAAAATCTCTCAAGAAGATCTGAAATTTTTGACCAGAATGAAGGAAGGCATTAGACTCAAACAGGATGGACATTTTGAGATGTCAACCGTTGCCTCAGTGTTCGATCCACTTGGATTCGTGTCACCCTTTATCTTGCTGGGAAAGCAGATCCTTCAACAAATGTGTCGAGACAAACTCAGCTGGGATGACACCTTACCTGACAGCCTACGACCTCAGTGGGAAGCTTGGCTGCTTGACCTGAGGAATCTAGCAGAAGTCAAGATTCAGAGATGCTACACTCCAACTAACTTCAATACACAGCATTATGAACTACATCATTTCTCTGATGCCAGTACGTCTGGATATGGCATGTGTACCTACCTCAGAGCTGTAAGTTCATCCGGGGAAGTCCACTGTTCTCTGGTGATGGGAAGATTGAGAGTTCCACCATCGAAGGTCACAACCATTCCACGACTTGAGTTGTCAGCTGCTGTTGTTGCTGTTCGTACCGGTGACATGTTGAAGAAGGAGCTGGAAGTTGACATCTCACAAGAAACTTACTGGACGGACTCAAAGGTTGTACTAGGATACATTGGGAATGAAGCCAGAAGGTTCCATGTATTCGTTGCAAACAGAGTTGAGCGTATCAAACAAAGCACTAAGCCTACACAATGGAAGTACGTGGTGTCCGAAGAGAATCCTGCAGACCACGCCTCAAGAGGTCTTACAGCTGAGCAACTTGTAGCCTCAAACTGGTTTACAGGTCCTGATCTTCTCTGGCAGAAGGTCTTGTCCAGTGATGAAATCAAGGTGGGAGAAGTATCAAGCAATGACCCAGAAGTTAAGAAGGTTCAAGTACTCAAGACACACGTTAAAGAAGAAAGGTCACTTCTGGATCGCTTGCATAAGTTCTCTGACTAGTCAAGAATGATCAAAGCCATTGCTAGACTCCAGCGTCTTGTAAGAGAGGTAAAGGAACGCAAGACAAGATCTTCTGAGATGAGTAGCATAGAAGAGAGAAGAGAAGCAGAGTTGACAGTTTTGAAGTTGGTTCAAGAAACTGCCTTCTCTACGGAAATCAATTCATTAAAAAATGACAAGGTAGTCCATACTACAGACAAAGTGACAAAGCAACACAAGTTGTGTCCTTTCATCGATGACCAAGGCATACTTCGAGTTGGAGGAAGACTCAAGCATGCTACCCTACATTTCAATGTCAAGCATCCTGTGATTCTTCCAAGAGACAGTCATGTGTCAACATTACTCGTCAAGCATTTTCATGAGAGAACATACCATCAAGGACGAGAAATCACCATGAACGAGCTCCGCGCAAACGGATATTGGATTCTTGGATGCAGCAAAGTAGTATCATCTCACATCTTCAAGTGTTTAAAGTGTAGAAAGTTCAGAAGGTGTACAGAGCAACAGAAGATGGCAGACCTCCCGGAAGATCGAATGGAGACTACACCACCATTCACTTACTGCGGAATGGACTGCTTCGGCCCGTTTTATGTCAAGGAAGGCAGGAAGGAGTTGAAGCGCTATGGACTGCTTATCACCTGTATGTGCTCCAGAGCAGTACACATTGAGATGCTTGATGATCTAAGTACTGATGCTTTCATCAATGCACTGCGCGCCTTCATCGCCATAAGAGGTGCAGTTCGCCAAATAAGATGTGATCAAGGCACGAACTTTGTTGGCGCCAGAAACGAGTTCGCTGAAGCACTCAAAGAAATGGACCAAGCTAAACTGGAAACTATGGACTGAGAGTTTCTCATGAACACCCCAGCCTCCAGTCACATGGGCGGTGTTTGGGAACGACAAATACGCACCATAAGAAGTGTTCTGATGTCAATCCTAGAACAATCATCGAAACAACTCGACTGTTCTTCTCTGAGGACATTCCTGTATGAAGTCATGGCAGTGATAAACAGTAGACCACTCACTACAGATCACCTGTGTGATCCAACAAGTCCAGAACCATTAACACTGAACCACATCTTAACCATGAAGTCCACAATCATCTCGCCACCTCCAGGAAACTTTGTTAAGGAAGAACTTTATCTAAGAAAGAGATGGCGTCGTGTTCAGCTTCTCACAAATACCTTCTGGACAAGGTGGAAAAAGGAGTATTTGCTGAATCTGCAAAGCAGACAAAAATGGACTAAACAACACAGAAATGCGAAGATCAATGACATTGTCCTTCTTCAAGATGAAGTTTCCCCACGGAACCAATGGAAGTTGGCCAAAGTCGTGGAGATCTATCCAAGCAAGGATGAAAAAGTGAGAAAAGTGAAATTACTTATAAGTGATCCAACTCTGGATGGAAGTGGAAAACGTATCTCTAAAACAGTTTTTCTGGAGAGACCCATTCACAAGACAGTTGTTCTTTTGGAAGCAGAGTGAAGATACCAATCCATCTTCTTAATAACGGTCTCTCAACAATCTAGTTAGTTCATGATTGTAAATAAGTTAAAATCAGTTCAATATAATTCTTTAAAATGCATAATTCTGTAAATCACATGTGATTGGTGGGAGTGTAAATGTCCCTAATAGCTCTCATTTAATTGAGTTAATATTTGCCATGATTATACTGCCATCTATTGGTGAAACATGAAACGGAACTAACAAGCTCATTTTGACCCGACCCCAATTCAGTGCGCACTCAGCCAATTCAGCGCCATAGACTGCCGCATTTTTCCCGGTCTCAGGTAAAATCCATAAAATGTTAATAATTGTACAATAATATCTAGAGTAACAAGATGTTAATGTATGTTTTGTATTTAAGTAGACACTGAGACGAAAGCAGCACGGTGGCTGAGTGGATAGCACTCTCGCCTCTCAGCAAGAAGGTCCTGGGTTCGAATCCCGGTCGGACCAGGGCCTTTCTGAGTGGAGTTTGCATGTTCTCCCCGTGTCTGCGTAGGTTTCCTCCGGGTACTCCGGTTTCCCCTACCACTAAAAATATGTCCAATAGTTCTGGCATGCGCCTCCTGTACTGGCGACCCCGCTCCCATCTCTGTGTGGAGTGAGAGACAAATGCCCAAAATTAACAATTGTAAACCGCTTTGAGACTCAGATCTGCAGTGAAAAGGCGGTATATAAATAAAAACTTACTTACTTACTAAAACTTACTAAAGCAGTGTGTTTTGCGGCCAAGTTGAGCTATTAGCCCCTCGTGGAAGTCAGCTCACGAGGTTCGTTTCTTTTTTGTGTACTTTTATTTTCATATACACACAAATGTATTTTAATACGTTTTTTGTATGTGATTCTTTTTGTGAGCAGTTCTCACGGGTTGCAAGGGTTCCAAATACAAGAATAAACCCTGTTTTATCTACCTCGTGCTCATGCTATTTCCTGAGGGTGCTACAGGTCTATTCGCCACCAGCAACAAGCATGAAATCAATCCATTAGGCAAGACAATTTTCAGAACAACTTAAAATTACACATTCTTGGAACATCCAATGGAGCCTGATGGGAGTCATTATGATTGTTTGCTGAAAAACTGGGTTTCTGATGATAATTCAGTATTAAATGACACTGCATTGGCACCACATACTTGTAGTCTATTGCAAAGGGCTTTGTGTCTGTGGAATGTACTATATAAATAAAGATTACTTACTTACTTGGAAACTTAAAAAGTATTTATTTTACAGGTCATACTGTAACTGTCGAAGGGCAAGACATTAAACTGGTTTTAGAGCCGTAAAAACATCCATTCAATGCCATCTACTGAAATAAATATACAAAGGCCTGCAAAGAGATGGGCTGGATCAGAAAACTTTGTGTATCTTTAAAGGATTTTAAAGAAGACACACAACTTTAATGACATAACTTCCGACAGGTTTGAGCAAAATGTGGGGGATTTTTTACAAGTGGGGGCAATTACTGACAGAATAAACAGTGTATAAAAATGAGGAGAGGATATTGAACAGTTCCTCTCTGTGACTCTCTTCCTCTAGACCTCCTCTGGCTCATAAACCTTTGCCCTCACGAGTCGCGGGAATGGCCACCCTCCCAGTGGTCCTGCTCCTCTGCGCTTTCCACGGTAACCCCATCCAAAACACCAATCCTCGGGGTTAATTAGGCCCGAGTCACAGTCCCAGTGCTTGTTTTTTAATGCCGTGAACTGCTTTTCCTTTTACATGTGGTCTGCGGTCGTCAGTGTTCACAGCTGGGGCCCAGACCGGTAATGTTCCCCCCTCCTCCCATTTCCTCATAAGTCATATTTAAAAACACTGCAAATACATGACTTTAAATGACTTCAGCACTCAACATTGTTTTGATAAAGAGAAATATTGGGTGTGTTAATAATTAGGAACTAAATACAACGTTTAAGGGAGATGTATTTGGTATTAGGAGGCATTTTGTGTTAAACCACACATAGATCACGGCTTTGGCACACATCTTGTTCATTTTATGCTGCAAAAGTCATTAATAATAAAAACTTGTTTATTTTTACATTTGATTTAAGTAAGATAACATTTGAATATGTTTGATTCGGAGTCAGAATCACAAATTGACAAAAGGGCAGAGATTGTGGGTAGGTGATACTGAGCTTTTATGAGCACTGAAGCCTCTCTTTTGTGCAGAACAAACAGAATATGGTGAAAAATGCATGAAACTATAACAAAGAAACACAATCAAACAACAATTGAACAACTCACATCACTTTGGAATATAAGATCTAAATATATGTTGTTTTGTTAAAAAAGTTTAAATTATCCAATAAATTTAGTTCCACTTCACGATTGTGTCCCACTTGTTGATTCTTGACAAAAAAATTTATTTTTTTATATCTTTATGTTTGAAGCCTGAAATGTGGCGAAATGTTGAAAGGTTCAAGTTCAACAATACTTTCGCAAGGCACTGTATATCTGAATAATTGTTTCATTTCAGAGAGCACAGAGGCGCCTGAGTCCTTACCTTCAGGTGAGTTGCGTTTAATCAGTACGCTCCAACACATGTGGCAAAGGGAACAATAGACTGCTATTGTTGACATCAGGGATGCCCAAAGTGAGGCGCGTGGGTAAATACTGAAGTAAACACCACAATGATCAAACCATTTTACTTTTTAGCGTTTGCAGTAGTCTTATTTCATTTGTGGAGGCACATTGTCTAAGTGGGTATGTATTGCATTCTTCACAGCAGGAAGGTTGTGGGTTAGATCTTGTGTTGGCCCAGCCTTTCTATGCGGAGTATGCATGGTTCTGGGTGGGTCCAAAACATGCACCCATATAAATCTCTGACTGGGTCCTGTGGCGCTGCACTGTAGACACCACTGCTACGGACATGCCCTAGTACTATTGAAGGATAGGTCAAATGCTAAGGGCACATTTCCCCAGGAGGACAACACAGTATAACGTAACCCTCTCTGGTTTGTAGACTGCAGGGAGGAGATGTATCCCTGCACCAGGATGTACTCTGTTCATCGGCCGGCCAAGAAATGCATCGGAGGTTTCTGTCTCTACAGGTCACACATCTCCTACAGCACTTATGTATCGTCTCTGTCCCGAAATAATAATAGGAAAAACAAACCTTATAATTGAGAACCCAAAACACCATAAATAAAAATGAGTAATAGCAGTATCTTACCCCTTTAATGGTTTCCTTTTTACCATTTGATAAAGGCCTAAAATGAAATAAAAACCAGGGGCTCAAAATTATAATTATTTTTGTGTGTGCTCCTACATCTTAGAAAATCCAGAAATGAAAACAATACATTGCTTTCTTCAAGGAGTGAATATTAAAGGGTAGGGATGCAGCGATTGTGACATTTTGGGCCAACGGCCGATGTTTTTTCTTTGTTATTTATAAATATATGTTTCTTGGCGGCTTCAGTTTTTCTTGCATCGGTGCATCCCTATTAAAGGGTTAATGTTGCCACACTCAGTTGTTCAGTTATTTATTATCATATATATCACGTAGTAAAGTACTGATACCAGGAACAAGAACACCTGTGACATCGGTATTATTAGACATTGGAAATATCAATCAAAGTTACTGTCACTGTAAAGATACTGTTGTTTTTCCCGCAGCGGAACTGTGCCGAGAGCGCTCCGGGTGGCCGAGACGCATCCAGCGCTCAGCTAATCAGAAGAGGCGTTGTCGCAGTCGTCGTGGCAACCTCTGAGGCGCCCCCGGAGCTGAGCCGTAAAACTCCACGAGTATGAGTCTATAAATCTTAGCTCAACACCCAGGGCACTTTTGAATTTGATCCGTATTTATCGATTTCACCTAATTGTCTGTGAACATTGGGGTGAGCTGGTTTCAAATGTATGCGGCTGACACAGAATCACGATTTATGATATATTTTGCATTACTATAGCAACAGCACACCTTCTCTCATCACCATTTTACACATGATTTATAAAAAATACATTACGGTATGGATTGAGAATATGCGTACATTAAATGCGTAACTAATCTTCAATGAGTTTTGTTTAGCTTTTTCTGGGGTTTTGTATCTATTCACAAGGGTGACTTTTACCGTGTGGAAGACATGAAAAGGCAAAAAACCACTTCAATTCTTAGTTTTACTTCATATATTCAGTTCCATTTACAATATAATTTACAGACAGTAATAATCCAAACATCAGGACAAGAATCCAACACTGACATAACTTCCTTAGCAGCAGTAATGTCTGTAACAACATTTCCGAACTACAATCATCCTGAACACTAAATCACAAATAAGTATTACGTCGCACTCACACATCACATATCACTTTTTTTTACATTAAGATTTTACATTTTGTACAAAGCAAGTTACAGTTGGAGCCCGAGCTGATGGGGGCTGATTATAACTGATGAAATGTTAAAGGGAATGTCTGTAACTTTATGTATTTCATGTTCTAATGAATGCAGATTTTTGACCACTCGACCATGTACTATCGTATAATCAGTCATAATAAATGTATCCTCCCGAGCAAGAGTGATTACAAATGCTCCGCGCTTCTCGACTGTGCTGCTTTTGCCGCTGTGATTGGTTGATTGGTTTGTCACTCACTCAAACCTTGACAGAGGCGGGATTAACGCTTTTGAGAGAAAACATAACAATTTTACGACTATTTCCCCCAAATAGAACATAATTTACATCATGTCTAATGTGTCTTTTCTGTATCTGGTACAAGTGAACTTTGTGTTCATTAGGGGTGGTCAAAATATTATTTTCTTTGACAGAGGCTGCATCCGAATTCATACGACACACCTCCTTCCTTCTCCTTTTTATTCACCTTGACAACATTAACTTTGACCTAAGTGGCTTTAAATAATTCTTTAAAAGGCCTTGCCCTTCACTTGACCAAATCAAACATGACTTTGAATTGTTTTATGAAGGAAAAACAAGGAGGGAGACATTTATTTACTCTGAATTTGCATGTAGCAGAGAGTTTAAAAGACTGCCAAAAGGTCAAACATCCTTGTGAGTTTTTTTGTATATGTTCACAAAGAATTGGAAGACATGCCACGCTGTATCAAAGACCTCGTATGGCTGCAAATTTCAAATGGCAGAAATCCTGTCTTGTAATCTGCGTGAGCACTTTGAGCTTGTGTTTTGCTCCATTTTTTCACGTTAATAAACTAAAACAGCGAGAAGGTCTAGCTCAGAGGGACAGAGGAGCTCTTTGAGGAGTAGGTAGCTGTGGCCTTAATGACTCATGGAGCAGCAATGTCCTTGGCGGTTTGGCTCAGATCACACGTTTTGATACATATTCAGAATAAAAATTGAAGTAGTCCACACTTTAGGTCTGTGGACACTACATCCAGCTGTGAGGAGGTCTAGAGCTTACTTAATTTAAGCATATTCTATTCTATTCTATGCAAATACAGTGTATAGTGTTGTTATCAAATCGTTGACAGATATTTGCTTGTATCATAAACTATTACAGTATTTCTAAAAGGAGACCTACAAGTTCCCATACATGGCCACTAGAGGATAGTAGGGAGCAACACTGAAACATTATTGTTATCAAGCCAGTGCATAGTCAAGTCCCTGATTTCCAAATACAGGAATTCAATTCAACTTTATTACGGACTCAAGGTCCAAAAAAGACAGCGACATCACAAACAACATTAAACTACAAACAAATAAATTACACAGTCCCTTTAAAAAGACAGCTATACCAGTGCCTCCACATTAGCGACTGATAGCGAATGGCACTACAGGTGACATCAACCAATGAACCAATTACTGTATTAACAGACTTATTCAAACGGCATATGAAACGGTACATAAGCGTCCGCAGTGTGGCTTGCAGCGTGTTTATTCCAGCAGTGACAAACATCTCACTCGCACTGGTCCATCTCGGCCTCCTGAGAAGCACACGCAGAGCGTCGTTATAGGCCACCTGCAACCTTTGGAAAGTTCCTTTTTTATAGTTGGACCAAAGGTGCGCTGTGTACAGAGGTGTACAATATGATTTGAACAACATCATTTTCACTTTGTCCGTACAAAAGCCAAATTTACGCGCCAGCGTGTTTGCCTGGGCATACAACGTTCTACATTGCCTGTTTATGTCAGCATCATCAGAAAAGTCTTCTGTCAATATATGCCCAAGATATTTTATTTTGTTTGCAACATGAAGCCTTGCATTAGACAAATAAAAATCAGGATATGATGTTTTCTTATCCTCCTTGGCTCTACAGATCATAACCAAACTTTTCACTGCATTATATTTAATGTCATGCTCCAGGCCATAGCTTGAACAAATGTTAAGTAACTGTTGCAGCCCAGCAGTGCTTGGACTGAACACAACAAGATCATCTGCATACAACAAATGATTTAACACAAGGTTACCAGCTATACATCCAGTAGTACAAGCCTTAAGTCTTGTAGACAGATCATCCAGATATAAGTTAAAGAGAATCGGGGATACTATGCCCCCCTGTCTGACCCCATTGCTGACCTTAAATGGAGCAGACACACTGTTCCCCCACTTAACCTGCATCTTTTGCTGAGCATACCAGTAGATCAAGATCCGCACAATGAATTTGGGAACACCTTTCTGAATTAGTTTAATAAATAATTTCCTGTGGTTAACTCTGTCAAAAGCCTTAGAGGCATCTAAAAAACACATAAAAACTGAGGAGTTTTGACCCTTATATTTAGCAATAATTTCTTTGAGGGCATATATACACATGTCTGTGCCCAGCTTAGCTTTAAAACCAAACTGGCAATCTGACGACAAAATAAACTTAGATATTTTGTCCAGCAAAATTGATTCAACGATTTTAGACACAATACTGGCCAATGCTATTGGTCTATAATTGTCTGAGCAGCCAATCTTGCCAGCTTTATCAAGCAACCAGTCTGTGTAATTGATCTGTACATAAATCACCTGTTTAACACACACGTTGTAAAATACAGAAAGTTTAGGTTGTCTTGTCAACATTAGAAACGAGTTCGGGATTGATAATGGTAATCACTAGGTTTTCATGTTGTCGCCTGCAATTTTCCACAGTTTTAGCATTTTCATCCATTTCATTGGAGAAATGCAAGATAGATTAATTAAATCCAATCTGTGAACTATTAGAGGCGATGAAATAACGTTCTGACAGAAAACACAACATACTAGTCCTTTAAAGAAACTACTTTGAGTTAAAACATCACTTTTTGAAGACAAAACAGGGGCTTTCTGACCAGGGTACTAACAACACACGGTAATGCAAGTATGTAGTATCTTGTGTGTGTCCCTGCGCGGCAGAGAAACCTAGGACGCCGGAATTGGGGAAAGAATGTTGCATAAGGTAATTCCCACAAAGTAAAGGGAAAAAACAAACGGGAACACTTCCTCACTTGGGAGGCGCGGAGTCGAAATCTCCCCACAAATCTGAGGCCGCTGTGGAGCTGGTGTTCGACGCCGTGAATGAATTTGAACTGTTGGAATCTAGATCCAGTAAAAAGCCTGTTGGACAAAACAAGAAAAGTTAATAGCCTTTTATATTCAGACAGTTAAGCACAAAACACAGTGGAAGATAATGTGACTGCTTTTGGATCTCACGAGCAATTTTCAAGCAGTGAGAATTTAAAAGCAAAAACGTATTACAACAAAACACAGCCAATGAAACAGAAAGCAGATAGACTGAAAGGTACACAACATCAAGCAGCTGAACTAAACAAGCCATATTTCTATTGAGAATGAGGAGTCACGTGCCGAGTTGGGGTGATTTGGGGGGGGCTCTGAGCCTGTCGGACATATTGGCTGCGCAACGGGGGCACGCCCCCAGAATTTCACGCGCTCCTCATATTCCAGAGCACTTTAAATTATACGCATTTACGTTTTCCAGTCCAGTGGTTTCACTTCAGTTGTGTGGGGCTTGTTAATAAACCCTTTGGTGACACGCCATGGTTTTGCCCTTGTTGTGCAGAATAGGTTTTTCCTATTTCTTAAAATTGTATTATTGTTATTGCTGTGTGCCTTTGCAGTGTTTTTTTTTGTACATTTGCACTAATAACAGTCTTATTTGTTATTATTATTTATGTTATAATTTATTTTATTATTTTGTGCATGTTTACATGCTGGAAACAGTACTTTGAATGCACACGTTGTTTTGCAGTGTTTTGTGTCCCTTTGCACTAAGAAAAGTATGACTCTTATTATCATTTTTACCTATGTTGGGCATGTTTACATGCTGGAAACAGTACTTTGACTGCACACGTTTGTAACAAAAAAAATATTCATTTCTCAATAAATATTGGTAAACCATATCAAGTTGTTTCATGCATTTATTTAAAAATAAAAGATACAGTAAAGAATAAGGTACTCAAACAACACTTTTGCACATGTTCGTTAAGGCACAGCAAACAATGACAATCTTATCCAAAGGCATTAGGTTTTCACCCTCACATTTGACAAGCATGTGCACAGGTACAGTTGAGTGTAAGAATTTGAATTTGTTGCGCACAACACCGATCACCCTCTCCACGTGAATTCTGAGATGTGCTATGGCCCTAGTCTCCTCCACATCTTTCGCCTCAAGCTGAGCACGACCCCTGGTGAATGTAGGTATTTTCACTTCAGCACACATCATGCCCACATGTTCTCTTATATTAAAGCCTCTATCTGCCAGCACAATGTCACCTGGTAACAGCT